CACCAGATATAAATACAATCCAAACAAAAGCTGTTTGGGGGTCCTCCATAATTTTTAAAAGTGAGAAGGGGTCCTGACAGGAAAAAGTTTAAGAAACTACATTCTAGATAGAATCTCACTGTCCCTTACCAAACTGGTTCATAAAGGAAATCTTAGACTTGCAACTCTGGCTGATGTGGCAGCTATGCCCTTGAGGGACTTTACACAACATCTGGTGGTGTATCTGATAAATTCCGCCTAAAACCAGATAAAATAGATGGACCAACAAACAGAATACTCATAATTGCTTGTGTGTCCTTGACTTCTTCAGCGGAGCTGTTGCAATGTGCTAAATGTTGAAGGCTGCCCTTGAAGATAATTCAGAAGCTACAACTAGTCCAAAATGCAGCGTCTCCTGGTGCTTCTTGTTGTGCCTGCATCACATTGCTGGTTAGCAGGAGCTTCTGGGCGCATTTCAGAATGCTGTTTGTTGCTGCACAAGAAACTCTTGCTGCTATTTCAAGCACTGAGGTGCTTCTGGGTTGAAAGGATTCGCTGGTGACATCACTGTTGCCCAGGGAATGCCCCGTTGGAGGCTCATTTTATGTCTGCCTTAATGTGCCCATCAAAGCGGTATCTATTTATCCACCTATACTTACTTACCTATTATCTACCTGTTTTGCACACTGCTAAATGAGCAGGAGCTGGAGTGAAGGACGTGAGCTCATCCCATCACACAGCAGCACCTGGGTTTTGAACGCTTGCAGATTCACCCCTGCGTTGTAACCATGGGAGCCACAACACTCCTCACTGTTTGTTTAAAGGTTCAGGGCCTTGATATTTGTGGGACTACCTTCTGCTTAACTGGTATCAATTAGGGTGGGTGATCGCTGCATTCTTTCACACAGGTGTTGCCATTTGTGACTTGTCTTCTCTGGCACCCCCTCCTCCTTTGGGTTAGCACCTGACTTCTCCCTTTTGGGGGTCAGAATGTCTGCAAAGACTGGCTATTTGAACAGGCTCTGGGGTGACGTTCTTTAAAAAATGCGGGTGTTGATTAGGTTATATTCCTGAATCTTAGCCTTGTGTTTTATGGATTTGGTTTTTTGTATGCTTTGTATTCTGTTGTTTCTAACCTGAGTTAGTTTGTGATTGGAGCAGTCTAGAAGTTTGGTAAAATAAATAACTAAGAAACTTTCACCCTGTCCCCAGTCTTCTCTATTCGATGATAGTTTTTGTCAAGGATTATGGGGGGAAATGGATTATTCGGATCCAATGCAGTCAGAATCCAGACTTAGATACGAACAGAAGTGACTCTCTGCTCTTGTGGATTATCTCCAAGAGATCCTGAATGGAGAAAGTGTAGCAATCTTGTTCCTTTTAGGTTTCTCTTTTGATGCCATTGATCAAAAGGTTTAGGGACTCTGTTCGGCAATGCTTCTGCTTTTTGCTAAGAAGGGGTTCCAATTGATATTTCTGTGGTGGAAAGGAGTGTTTGTCTGTGGCAAGACTGATGTGGAGGCCACTGAGCTCGGTGTTTTCTCTCATTGTGTTTAGCATCTATAGAACTGTTGGGAGAGGCCATCCTTGGTTCGGGGTGGGTGGGTATCATGCATATGCAGATAACATCCAGTAATATGCTTCTACTGTGGGCCAGGCAGGAAATGCTGTAGACAGCCTAACCTGGCATCTGGTGGCTGAGAGAATCTGGATAGGATGAAACAGAATGAAATAAAAACCCCAGCAAGGCAGAGTGGCTGTTTCTCCAGAAGCCAATTGGTTTTCTATTTGATTGATTGATATGTGCCCTCTTGGCGGTGTCAGCTCTCAATCACAAAGATGCATTATTATTCAGATCCATCTTCCTTCTCGCTTAATATTATCTAGCAATATTTGCTGCAGCTCATTTGGTTTCTTAGCCAACAACATGGCCTCCTCTGCATGTGAAAGTAACAGCCAATACATCTCTGTGGTCACCATAAGGATTCCTTGTACTTTATCCACAAATAAAAGGCTACAGGCACATCATGCCTCCTTGTCTTGGAGCCTTCTCAATGTTTAACTATCCCTAAGCATACCATTCATTCTCATGCGGGTTTTACTTCCACCCTCTACTGCTCTTTCTACATTCAGTACCATCCAACAAGTCCATAGTCATACAAAACATTCTCTACTTCTAGTGTATTCACTATCTATAAATTAGCAAATGTACAAAGCTACAAAGCATCTCCTAAAATCTGCTTATTGTCACCTCTCCAATGTCCAATGGTTTCCCAGGCACACTTCATAGAATATTAGGGCTGGTAGGAACCCCGGAAATCTTCCAAGGCAGGAGTCCTCATACCATCTTGAACAAATGGTTGCCCATTTTTAAAAAATGTCCAGTGACGGAGATGCCCACAACTCTGGGAGGCAAGCTGTGGCAGCCCTTCAAATATTGGAAGATGGCAATCATGTCTCTCCTCAGTCTTCTCTTCATTAAGCTAAACATACCTTGTTCCTTTAATCATAGGTTTTAGCCTCCGGACCCCTCATCATCTTTGTTGCTCTTCTCTGTACTCTTTCTAGGGCCTCGGCATTTCTTATGTATAGTGGTGACCACAACCAGATGCAATATTCCACGTGTGGCCTTATTAGTACAGGTATGCAGTACTGTCACTTCCCATGACCTTGATTTATCCTAGGACTGCATTGGCTTTTTTGGCAGCTGCAGGACACTCCTGGCTCATATTTAAGGAGTGGTCCATTGGGACACCTAGTTCTCTCTCACAGGCACTACTGTTGAACCAGGTAGTGCTCATCCCGTACCTGTGCATCTGGTATTTCCTGCCTAAGAACAGGAATTTTTCTCACCACTGAGCTGCATCTTGTTGGATAGAGCCCAATGCTGAAGACCATCAAAGTCCAGAATCTTGAGTCTATCATCCAAAGTGTTAACAATTCCCCCCAACTTGGTGTCATCTGCAAATAGCAAGAGCACTTATATACCGCTTCACAGTGCTTTACAGCCCTCTCTAAGCAGTTTACAGAGTCAGCATCTTGCCCCCAACTGTCTGGGTCCCGTGATGAGTTCCTATTCTGTTCCCTCGTCTATGTCTTTTATGAAGATGTTGAAGAGTGTTGAATTTATATTTACAATAATATTTACTAAAATAGTTTGTCACAAAAGCGTCTGCCTGTGAAGGCTCCTGGACTGGGACTGAAAGGCGAAAGCGGAAGCAGTAGGCACCATCCCATATTTGGGTAGACCAGATTGCCCGCTGTCACCAGAAAAAACACTTAAGATGTTGAAGAGTGCTGGGCTCAAGACAGAACTTTAAGGTACCCCAATGTATGCTTCCCTCCATGAAGATGCAGTTCCATTGAAGGCAATTGGTCAGCCAGTTGCATATCCATCTGGTGGTGATGCTGTCTAACCCATATTGTTCTATCTTATAGTAGAAGTAGACTGTGGTCTACTTTGTCAAATACTTTACTGAGATCTAAGTACATCCACAGCATTTTCTTGGTCCACTAATTTAATCACTTTCTCACCAGAGGCAGTAAGGTTTGTCTGGCATGCTGGCTTTTAGTAATTGCCTTGTTTTTTTCTAGGTGCACTTAAACAAGCTAATTCCCCAGTATCGTTTACATTCCTTCTTGTTATCCTTCCAATTGTATAAGAAATAATAACAGCTATTACCAATATAAATCTCAAATTTTTTCCTTCAAACAGTTCAACTTTGTCTCATTTTATCACCTGTATTTTTAATACCATTTACCCTTCAGGTAGCTGCTTCTTTAGCCCTTTTCTTTTCCACTTCCAAAATAATCCTCCATTTCCCCCATCTAAGTTGTGTTTCTCTGCTTCTTTTTTAAAAAATATGCTTATTGCTTAATTTTTTATTTGCAACTATTGTTTTCTCTCTTTGCATATTATTACAGCAACTTAATTTCATGATTCGTCTCTTACTTATCTTGTTTCCTTACACACAGTCTCTAGCATTTCATAATGCCACAAAACTCACTTTTTTATACTTCCCACACAAGAAACGCCACATGGCTGTAGTTGTTCGAAATGTTATTTTTCCCCCCTATGGTCCAAGCAGCTTCCCGCCTTTTCCTTTCGGTCCCTTGGAATATTAACTTCTAGTGCTTTTCATGACTTATGCTTTCTCATTGCCCTTGTGTTCTTCACTCATTCTCTCAAATTTCCATCGTGAACTATCAAATCAATTGTGCTTTTAGAATAGAATAGAATTTTAGACTTGCATTAAATTCTTTGCCATACATACATGTAATTGACATGCTTAAACCATGTATTTGATCAGAGCATTTTAATTCACATCTGCCACATATGTCTCCTGTCTCTTAGCATCGCAGACATGCAATATATAGTTTAAAATGATATGAATGCACCCCTTCACCTTTGGCATATGTGTTGCTATCATTGCTCTCTTTGGCATCTTTTCTGTGCTGTGGCTGCCAACTGAGGAACCCTTAAGAGGATCCATTAGCAGCCTCCATTGCACATGTGCCACAGGCAGCAGCTTTGTCCGCTAACCGTGAGGAGACTCTGGGCAAGCCTTGGACACACCTTGGTCAAGAGACCAAGTCATAGCCAGTTGTGCCCCACGCATGCTCACGGGCAAACCAGGATATTGGCTGCGGAGACCATGTGACAAGCCAAGCCTTGTGGCTGATCAGAGCCATCAGTTGGGAGGCAAACACAGATCAACAACACAAGATGCTTCTGATTTGGGGTGGGGGACTTGGGACATAATAAAAGTGAGCGATGCTGAGGTTTATGGGGAAGGTAGTATGTGGTACAGAGCTTGCTCACCTCTGAATGTGATGCTCGATTTGCACGCAGCTTCTTGAATGTCAAACAGATGTGAATCACAGTGGAAACAATGCTACCCACTGTTGGTTGGAAACAGGCACGTGGTCACTGTTGGCAGGCTAGATGCCCAGGAGGCTGCCTGGGCACAGCATCCACTCATGGTCCTCTCTCCTCCTGCTTCCCATTTTTGCTCCCCTAGATTCTCCTCGGAGGCGGCTATGGAACAACTTTCAGATGTCTGGAGTCTCCAACTACACCACAATGATGCTGAGCCCAGATGGGCGGGTCTTGTATGTTGGTGCCCGCGAGATGCTTCTTGCTCTGAACACCAGGGCCTTCTCTCCCGGGCCCCAGCACCAGCAGGTCAGTTCAGAGGCCCTGGTCTCTGGGTCTCCTTCCCTGCTTCAAAAGAGGTCCTGGGTGGTGTTCCTAACTAGCAGCATCTAAGGCAGAAAGCCAGGCTTTGATCCTCAGGCTGGAAGCAGCAGCCGTGCCATATTGGCAGAGGTGAGAAGGCTCTTCCCTCCCAGCCTTCAACTGGGTGGCTTCCCTTGTCTGCCGTCTCATTACACAGCCACCATATTTGAAACGCTGAGGGTGACGGGGAGGGTCTGGTTGTGGTTCCACCTCCAGCAGTTGCCTGTATAAACAAGAAAAGATTGGCTTTGTGGCTGGCCTCGGGGCTGCTTCCTTCTCAGTGTCTGGACCTGGAATTGAGCATGCCAATTTGCCCGTGACTGGTGTTGCTTGGTGAGGTATGAGGGGAGCACCGGTGAGTCGGTAGCTCACGGAACCAGCCAGAAGCGCTACAAGAAAAGGGTCCTCCTGGAGAGGCCAGGTGAGTGATGGCAGCCTGCTTTCCTTCCTGCAGCTGATCTGGCATGCCGAGGAGGAAAAGAAACAGCAGTGCATCTTCAAGGGCAAGGATCCTCAGGTGGGTAATGCCAGTCGGGGGCATAAACTCTGGCAAGAAGAGCAGTGCTCAATTCCACTGGGAGTCTGGGGCCCATCCGGGCATTGCCTCTTCCTCCCAGTGCAGCCAGAGCAGCCCAAACCCAGTAGGAGCTTCCTGTGGCCTGCCTGGTCCTGAGTGAAGCCTTCTCCTCTTCCTCCCTCCCTCCATTTGCAGAGAGACTGCCACAACTACATCAAGGTCCTCCTGCAGCTGAATGAGACCCATCTGTACACCTGCGGGACCAGCGCCTTCAGCCCCACCTGCACCTACATTGTGAGGACCATCCCCCCACCCCCACCCCCAGCCCTCGTCGTTCTCCTTTGGCTTAGCAAGGCATAGCCTGAGGCCATCACTAGTTGCAGATGGTTGAATGTTTTGTGGAACAGAACATTGAGGCTAACTTTATTTAAATCAGATCCAGTTTCCTTATTACGCTTGTCCTGCCTACTATGCATTAACAAACTCAGAGTGTATCCCCCCCTCCCTGCCTGAAATGTTTCATGTCTTTAATCTAGCTTAAAATAATAATCTTCAGAGTAAGGCATGTTTTAGCCCCAGGCTGAAGTGAGTCCCTGGTGAGGGTTTTCGCAGTTGCCCTGGACAGCTGTTGGGAACCACCCAGCCTGGCAGGGAGGGGGGATCAAGCACAGAGCTAGTCTGAAGTCACTGCATGCAACTGCAAAAGGACCCAAACCAGCCCTCCCTGAATTCCTTGGAACCGTATTTAGTTGTTCCCTAGAAAGGCTGCCAGACTGGGGAGATTCTTGTATCGTAGGCAGAACATGGGTGGTTGGTTGTGCCTGACAACAGCCTTGTGCAGGATCAAGCCCTCTTCTTCCAAAATGGTGGGAAGACCCAGCCTGCAGCCACATTCTGGACTTGCCTGCTGTGGGCACAACTGCTGGGTTTGCCTGGCTCTGCAACCTCCCCATGTGGGCTCCCTGCTAGAATTTGCACCTGGGGTCTTCCCCAAGACAGAAATTGCATGGAAGATCTGTTTGCAGTGCAGGGGAGAGGACAGATCTATGCAGAGTTGGCCAGCTCAGGCTGGTGGGACTTGTGGGTCTGCCCTTTCTGATCGGGGACTCACCAGTCTTTGCCTCTTTCTCGTGCAGAGCCTGCCAGCCTTCCAGCTGCAGCAAGACCCTTTGGGGAAGCTCTTGCTGGAGGATGGAAAAGGACGCTGCCCCTTTGACCCGGAGTACAGATCTACAGCCATCATGGTTGGTAAGGAGCTTTGGGGTTCTCAAAGAGGCCACCCTGAGCGCTTTTGGGTGGAGGTAGAGGGGCTGCTGCCTGCAAGGAAGGATGATCTCCCCTGGGCTCATTGACTACGGACAATATGGTGGGGGGGATCTTCTGTCCACTCTCTTGGTGGGGAGATCCAGGTGGTGCAGGTGGTGCAGGCAGAAAGCTTCCCATGGCCCTATAATGCTTTCTCTCAGATGGTGAACTGTATACGGGTACCGTAAGCAAGTTTCAGGGCAACGAGCCCACCATCTTCCGCAGCCTTGGCAGCCGCACACCCATCAAGACGGAAAGTTCCCTCAACTGGTTGCAAGGTATCTGATGAGTGGATTGAAGGAGGAGGAGGATGGTGGCACCGGGTCGGGGGGGGGGGGGGGGTTTCACATTTGTACAGCGCTTAGATAACAACCCTGGCACTCAGGAGGGACAAGCATGGAGCAGGACAGAGAGCTCTTTTGATGGACTTAGAGGTCCTTGCCTTTCAGTAACTTTTGTAAATTCTGTTTGGGCTCTGATGTTGGATGTTGAGGTCTCTGCTCACTGGCTATTCGGCATGGGGCAGCTCTGAGGTGATCTTGGCCAGGTTTGGATGAGTCTCCACCAGGGCAACTTGTGACTGTTTCCTAGATGGAGTCCCAGAGGCTCTCCGCTCTTGCCATGAAACCTACATGGGCAGGTCCATGAAGATTCTAGGATTTGAGCAAATTACTTCTTGGGCAATTGCTGCATTCATGTTACTGCTGATTGCCCTTCGTTTTATTGCAGTCACTTGTTTACAACACTATTATATTGCTTCATCTATTTTTTAAGCTGCCCTTAGTACCCTGTCAGAAAATTGTACCTAAAACATGAGGTATAAACATGAAATTAAATGAAATTAAAAAGCAGCCAGATTAAAACATATAATTATAGCAGTTTTGAATTTGCTTGCGGCTCCCCTTCATACAAAAATCTGTATTTTCATGTGTTGTTTTGGCCAGGTATCTAATGCCAGAGACGCCACTTTGCAGAAACTGCTTGTGCGTATTAGGAACAAACCTGCTGGAGGTTGTTCAGTTTAGACATTTCCAAGTCTTTATTTATGGTGAGAAGCTTGCAACATCTTGAATCCCCAGGGACCAGGCTCAGAGGTTTTGGTAGACTTTTAGGCATTCAATACCATCATTCCAGAAATTATTCACACTGAAGTGATTCAGCTTTATGTGCCTGTTCATATTTGTAGATGGACTATCAGCTTTTTGAGAGATAGGAAGCAACAGGTGAAGCTAGGGAAAATCACATCAATCACCCAGACAATTAGCACAGATGCCCCTGAGGGCTCTCCATTACTCTATTCTCTCTCTCTATCAGTGACTGCATCTCTAAGGATCTCTCTGTTAAAGTAGTGAAGTTGGCAGATGATACAACAGTCATTGGCCTCATTTGAGATGGTGCTGAGTCTGCATATTTTATTTATTTATTTATTTATTTATTTATTTATTTATTTATTTATTTATTAAATTTTTATATCGCCCCCTCTCCCGAAGGACTCGGGGCGGTGAACAGCCAAAATTAAAACACACAATACAAATATTAAATACAATTAAAACAAAATTAAATTATCTTTGGCTTCTCCAATTTAAAACCCCTTACCCATAAAATTCACCCAATTAAAATATAGATGGGAGGTTGAACAACTGGCCTGTGGTGCAGCTGGAAGAATCTGGAACTGAACATGCTTAAAACTGTAGAGATGAGAGTGGATTTTAGGAGGAGCCCTTCTATTTTACCACCTGCTACCACCTGTTACTATATTCGATGGCATTGTATCAGCAGTGGAGTCCTTCACATTTTGGGGTTCTATAATCTCTCAGGATTTGAAATGGACATCTAACATTAGAACCATCATTAAAAAGGCACAACAAAGACTATGCTTCCTGCACCAATTCAGGAAGTTCAGATGGCCAGGGAGCTGCTGATACAGAGAAATGATTGAGTCTGTCATTTGTACTTCTGTTACTGTCTGGTTTGGTACAGCAACTAAACAGGTCAGGTAGAGACTCCAATGGATAGTTAAGACTGCAAAAAGAATAATTGCTTCCACTGAGGACCTGTATACCCCATAAGCCAGGAAGAGGGCTGAGAAAATATCTACAGCCCCCCCCCACATCCTGGACGCTGCTATTGAATGCCAAAACAACCAGACACAGAGACAGTTTTTCCCTTTGTGCCATCACTCTGCTGAACACCTACTTCTGTCTAATGTCTATGTGTATTTACCCATAATATGGCTGTAGTATTATTATTTATCTTTATTTTCTTTATTTCCCCTTCTATTGCTATTATTATCATCATTATTGTTGTTTTGAATATAGACTAGAGCTCTGCACCAGAGACAAATTCCTTGTGTGTCTAATCACATTTGGCCAAATAAAGTATTCAAGCAGCTGAGTTCTTTCTAGGGGGAAGTTCTTCCCCAAAGGAATGAGAGAGAGAAGGCGGAAGGGGGAGGTTCCACCACTTTACCTACTTCTGCCAACAGAGTGCATGCCCAGGGACTGGCACTTGGGGCTGCTCTGAAGGACCCTGGCTGGTTGAAACCCTTGGCAGCAGCAATAGCAGCTTTGTCTGTGCAGCTCCCCTCCTCCCCCCTGTTCTTTCTGGGGCCCTTAAAGAAAGTGGAGAAAAAGAAGGGCCTGACCCATCTCTGTCTTGGGCAGAGCCATTCTTTGTGGGCTCAGCCTACCTGCAGGAGAGCAGCAGCCCGGAGGATGAAGATGGCAAGATCTACTTCTTCTTCAGTGAAACTGGCAAGGAGTTTGACTTCTTTGAAGACACTGTTGTGTCCCGTGTTGCACGTGTATGCAAGGTGAGGGGCATGGGGGGGAGACAAAATCTGTTTGTGCCACTTGTTCCTTTTTGCCCTCTGCCTCTGCAGTGCCAAGCTGGCTGTGGTGTCCTGAGCCGTCTGGCAATCCTCTGAGTGCCGAAAGGCAGCCAGGACACCCCTTGGAAGACACCCAGACGCCTTCCAGGGAGATCTCAACTCTGGCGTCCGGAACAAGGACTGAATCCTTTCAAAGCACAATTGGGGGAGGTTGCCAGCTCCTCAGACAGCTCTGGGGCTCCCCCAGAAGGGGCATTTCTCTTAAAATCAGTGTGTGGTCAACAGGCGGCGGATGGAAAGCGACCGTTGCTCCTCTTGCTAGGACTCCTTCAGGGAGCAGGGAAGTGCAGCCCTGGAGGGAGACGAGAGAGTCCCTCTTCCGGCTGAGGCTCCTGGCCTCCGAGTCAACCTGCTGGAAGGGTCTGTCTGGTGCCCATTTTACCTTCCTTTCCTGATGGGAGCAGGTAGATGAGGAGAACCTGCTGTCTACTGAGTGATCCCAGGATCCCTCGGAGAACCTTTTGATCCCCTCCCAGCAGGATGAATGCCTTCTCTTCTGAAAAGGAACAAATGGCTGTTTGCCGCAAAACTCCGCCCTGCCTTTCTGTGCTAAGCTTTCTCAGAATCTGGTGTTTGGGCTGCATGGTCCTGGCCCTTGGCATCAGCAGGTCCTGTCATTGTTTCCTCATCCTCTCTGTCCTGCGCCTGGGTGCCAGAGTTTCCCAGGGGCTCAACAGTCTCTGTTAAAGGGAGGAAGATTGGCAGGGCTCACCTGGGCTGGAGGGGCAGAGCTCAGTGGCTGAGGAACCATTCAGAGGTGATCTCTCTGTCCAAGGGAGAAGGAGGCACAGACAGTGGCTCTGCTGCCACTCAGCTGGGGGAGTGGCAACCTTTGACAAGCCTGCTTTTCTTCCTCCTGTTTCTGTTCTTTATGACTTCCTCCTCGTCCCTCCCTTCCCACCTCCCAGGGTGACTTGGGCGGAGAGCGTGTGCTCCAGCGACGATGGACAACCTTCCTGAAGGCTCAGCTACTCTGTTCCCACCCAGAGGACGGCTTCCTCTTCAATGTGCTTCAGGACATGTTTGTGTTGACGTCAGGCAATGGCTGGACAGAGACGGTGTTCTATGGGGTCTTTACCTCTCAGTGGTGAGTCTTGGGGGGATTGGCACCAAAGCACCCACAGAGGGTGCTGGCCTTGGCAGAGGGGCACATCATCACTTAGGCCCAATATGCAGGCGAATGGTGGAAAGGGTGTTCTCCGGGCACCCATGGCCCACACTGCCTCTCCTGCCCTTCTCTGCCAGGGACAGGAAAGGCCCTGGGGCTGCAGCAGTGTGTGCCTTCTCCATCTCCGATGTGAAGGAAGCCTTTGATGGGCTCTACAAAGAGGTCAACCGGGAGACACAGCAGTGGTACACAGACGTCCATCCTGTGCCAGAACCCCGCCCCGGAGCAGTAAGTGGCTTCCACTGCCCATCTCTCTTCATCTCCTCCCTCTTCGGTTAGATTACTAGTAAGACAGACCGTCAAATCTGAACAGAATATTACTGATTGCTCCGGGTATAGACACACACATACACACATATACACAGGTAGTTCGTGCTTACCAACCACTTATTCAGTGAACACTGGAAGTTACAGCAACCGTAAAAGAAAATTGATGACTGGTCCTTGAAATTGTGGCTGTTGCAGCATCTCCAGAGCAGAGGATTGCAGTTTAGGCACTTGGCATTTACAGTGGTCACCAGTGTCCCAGGCCACATGTAATGGTGTGTGGGAGACGGAGAGACTTGCAGGGTTCTGTTAGTGTAGCTCTACAGTTAAGTAGCTAAGTAAGCCGCCCTGAGTCTCCGGAGAAGGGCGGCATATAAATCAAATTAAAAAAAAAAAAAAAGTAGAGTGAACTTTGTGCTTTGATATGGCCTGTAGGATAATCAATAAAGCTATCTATCAAAAAGTAGAGTTAGCTTCTCTGGTTCTGTTTCCTGTCTGTCTGGTAAGGCTGACATCAACCTTGCAAGTCTGAAATTATGGTTCCTCTGCCATCTCCTTTATAGTGCAAAAACCTAGGAAAGGTTTCTTGACCTCCCTCCCCTCCCCCCCAGTTTGCTGCTGTGGGCGAGCCCTCTCTTCTATTCCCTAGGGAGCCTCCTTTCCTGTCTCCGAAGGTCTTTCACACATACCATTACATCACGGAATTTGTCACCTGCACAGCCAGCTTCCCACAAGCAAAGTCAACAGGGAAATCAGGAAGTTGCAAGTCACAGTCATGTGACGTTGTGCCTAACAACTGTACCATAAAGTGAATTGAAATCTTTTACTGCCAGCTTGAATGAACAAACATTTGATTACAGTACAAAATTTTATATATTCTCAAATCTACTTGATTGTTTTAGATCATAAAAGCCAAAGCAATCAACTAGATTTGAGAATAAGTAAAATCTTATAAATATGCTTCCATTATTGAGTCCAAACAACAGTGAAACCATGTGGCTTGAGTAGAGAGCCTAGAATTTAGCTGTTGCATGGGGATAGAAGAGAAGCAACCTGGAACTAAGGAGAAATTTTCTAACAAATTTTCTAATTGATCTCTCAATTGTTCCCTTCAGAAGTTGTGGGTGCTCCATCACTGGAGGCTTTTAAGAAGAGACTTGTCTGGAATGGCATAGATTCTCCTGTTTGAGCAGGGGGTTGGACTAGAAGACCTCCAAGGTCCCTTCCAATTCTGTTATTCTGAAATTCTGGTTTTGGGGGCTCGTTGTCTAGGGCAAAGGACTAGGCAAGCACTCTTGGTTGAATGGCCAGGTATCCCATCTGTTAAGGGTTGGATTAGTTGGGAGCATGAGTTGCCTTGTAAAAGCAGCACCCCATGAAGGCCTTCTAAGGTTTCACCAGAGGCCTGGAGGCATCGTCTGGGCTAAAAGGGGTCTGGTTATACAGATTGCAGAGGGAAGGGTGTGCTGCCAAAGGCCTAGCAACATTTGGAAAAGGGTCATGTATTGGGAGGGTTGTTTCCATTTTGGGCAGTCTTGGGGCAGCTGCATCCCTTTTGCGCTTTGCCCCATCTCATCACGAGACATTCCAAAATGGAGCAGCCTGCAATGATCATTCTCACTGTTGGGATTGGAAGATGTGCCATGCTGAAAAGGACAGGAGCCTGATAGGAAGCAGCTATGTAAAAGCCAGCAATCATCCTTGGCATCCATTCCAGCTGGGCAGTCTTCTAAGATGTTACGAGAATTATGTGACAACAAGGACCTGAGTGGCTTCTGTTGCTCCCACGTGGAGCATTGTGATTATTTGCACCATCACCCTTGAAGGAGGAGGGAGCAGTGAGGATGGGTGTTTTCAATTACTGTGGGTGGCTGGTAGAAGCTGGTTTCCCACCTGGTTTAATTTCTCCTTTTATTTCTTCTTTCACTCTGTCCTTTAGGGAGGACTCTGCTGAGGGCTCTCATAGTCATCTTATTTCCTACAAAGGCTTCAAATTAATTTGTCAGTGTTATCATTGGTTGATGCTAATTGATCAGGAATTGAGATCACTACTAAATTAAAATCAGATCAGCCAGCAAAGTCCTTCATGGATTCAAAGCAGGGGTGAAATGCTCTTGGTTCGGACCGGATCACTTGATCTGGTAGCGATGGCGGTGGGTGGTTCAGAGAACCGGTAGCAGAAATCCCTGCTGCCACCACCCATGCCCAGCTGAGCCATGTGATCATCAGAGCCTTTTTTTTTAACTTTTAAAAGCATTTTTTCTACAAATGCTTTTAAAAGTTAAAAAAAAAGTCTCTGATGATCATGCGGCTCAGCTGGGATCATCAGAGCCTTTTAAAAGCATTTTTTCTATAACCTCTTTGGCCTTTTCTTCAAGCTCTTCATGATCTCTCATCTCCAGTTACCTCATTATTCTGAGCAGTTCTTCAAATATATCAGGAGTACCATAAGAACGTTTGCTTGGTCTCCGCCCTCCTCTGGTGCTGGATTCTAGCTTATCCCTGCTCCTTGGTTTAATGTTGTGTCCTGGGATGGCTTGGTTGGGTGTGTGGCCCATCTTAAAGTAAAGACTGTTAAAGTCAAACTAAATTTAAACCAATTTAGTCAAATACATTGGTAGCAAAAAGGAGAAAATCTCATGGGGAGCTCAAAAAGTCAGTGCTGTCACCTCACATCTAACTAAACTCTGATGTTGTGTGGAAGCCGAGCCTGAACAGTCACTTTCTGGGGGTACCTTAACTGGGCTCCTTTCCCATCAGGATTGAAGTGCATGACTGAAATAGGGCCCCTCAGCTCCAGATGGTAAAAAACTTCAACTGCTCCAAAATGTTGCATCTGCATGATTAAACAGGATTCACCAGAAATGTGATTTCCTTGTGGAAAAAAAAAGGTTCCAAGATAAAATGTAGCTAAAATGCCCAGTCCTGTAGCCCTTGGGACTAAACGCCTCCCCAGCCTTCCGCCCTTCAGGGGGAGCCAGCTCAAAGGCCAGAGCTGGGGGGGGGGGGGCGCTGGGCCATCTGAAATGCAAAGGAAACTGCAGCTTTCCTTCACAGAGGGTCTCCCTACCCACCATTCAGATTACTGGTGCAGTAGATTTTTACTCTTCACCATCACATTTCAGTAAGCCAGCCATGCGCCCTGGCAGCTGTCAAGAGCAAGTCAATCCGCTCTGGAATTCAAAGCTGCTGGTGCTGCTCTGCTTTTTTGCCATAGGTGTGCAAATGCTCGTCTTCGCCTGCATGTATGGGCAGAATAATTCTGTGAGCGTCTAGACATCTTGTGTTTTAAAACAAGAGTTGAACTACAGATTTTGTAAATTCCTGTGCTGCTCCTACCTTTTGCATTTGGGTTAAACTTCCAAACTTAGCAGTCCCCAAATTCTAGCCTTTTTTTTTTTTTTGGTGATTAAAAAGAAAGCAAAATTCCTTCTGGAGAAAGTCTCTGTTGGGACATTTGGTTAAAACAGTTGAACGCTAGCCAGGAGCCTCGCGGAGCAGCGGCCCAAAGAGGAACTCCAAAACCTCTTGGTTTTCTCCCCAGAGCAATCCGGAGGGAGGGAGGGAGGGAGGGAGGCCAGGGGTGGGCGAGGGCTCTGCTCGAGATCCCCCATCCCAGGGCTCACCAGCAAACTCCTGCTCTTCCCAGTGCATCAGCCACAAGACCCGCCAGATGAAGATCACCTCTTCGCTGCAGATGCCGGACCGGGTTCTGAACTACCTGAAGGACCACTTCCTAATGAGCAGCGCTGTGAGGAGCCAAGCCCTCCTTGTGCAGCCCCGCTCCCGTTACCAGCAGCTCAGTGTGCAGCGTGTCCAGAGTCTGCAGCAAACATACGATGTCTTGTTCCTGGGCACAGGTGGGCAAGACTGGCAGAAAGGTGGGGAGGAAAGCCAGATTCATTTATTCTGTTGCCGCTGCTGCCTTGGCTCTGTTACGGCTTCAGACTGATCAAGTCAGCACATGAATGGCTTTGTGAGTTGGTGGATACGGAATTTGAAGGAAATGGGGAGTCAGTGCAAGCGAAGGAAAGACGGCAGAGGTGATCCAAACCTGGGCCTTTCCCATCTTCTTGGAGCTCAGAGGGCGGACCGGGCCAGCCAGAAGCAAAAAAGACCTCTTCACGGGGAGGGAGGAAAGGGGGTCATGGGGGCAGCCCATGGGCCTCTCACAGGGCACCTCTTGTGTCTTGTAGATGACGGCCGCTTGCATAAGGCAGTGATCACAAGGCGAGGAGTCCGGATCATTGAGGAGATTCAGCTCTTCCCTCCTGAGCAACCGGTCCTGGAGCTGCTGCTGGACTCTACCCAGGCAAGAGCGGAAGTCAACAGGGAGACCGGGGGTCCCTGGCTCCAGTTCTTCGCATGAGAGAAGCAGCTGGCTGGCCAGCCTCTGCGCTAGGTGTTGGGTGGGCTTCTGAATCAGGGCCACCCAGGCAGCTGCTGCCACTGCCTTTTTCTTCTGCTTGGGAAGGATGCATTTCTGGGTCCCTGCTTAGTTCGCAAGAGGCGAGTGCTGCTGGGTACAGAACAGAAGCACCCCCACCCCCTCCTCATCACAGCAGAGGCGTCTTTCCTGATGCTAGGTCAATGCCTCTGCCCTCAGGAGGTGGCAGAGTAAACGGTGGCACAGCCTCTTCCAATGTTCATGGATAAAGATGCCGGAACGTCTCCTGTTCTCCCTGCAGGGTCTGGTTTATGCTGCCTCGTATGATGCCCTGGCACAGGTGCCCATGGCCAATTGCAGCCTGTATCGGAGCTGTGGAGAATGTGTCCTGGCCGGAGACCCTTACTGTGCCTGGAGTGGAGGGGCCTGTCAGCTGCTCCTCCCCAGCCCTTGGCCGCTCCAGCCAGTGTGAGTGCTTCCCGGACCCGGCTACAGGCTGGCTTCCAACCCCCAGCCCATGCTGCCCGATCTTTTGGTGTAAGGGAACCAACCCCCTCCTTTCTCCCCATCCTTTGCTGCTCTTCTTCTTCCTCACCACATGCTGCACTTACAGGGGCACATGGTCCTCGGGGGTACCCCTCCTGCTCCTCCTTTCTCCCAGACCTCACCCTATTTCTCCCACCAGGACCTGGATTCAGGACATTGAAGGGGCTGAGACAAGCCAGCTTTGCCAGACCAGCGGTGTGGAACTCAGCCATTCAGCAGGTAACGCAGCACATCTGCCGGGGTTGGGATTTGAAAGTTGGGGGTAGGAGGGGAGGGGAGTGGAACTGGCCCTCCCCTCCTGGCTCCGAAGCCAAAGAGCATCATGCAGGGATTGGTGTTTCCTGTGCTGGACCAAGTTAGCTGTTGAGAATGCCGGTTCTATGAAGCCAGCTCTGATGGACGCTCTCTCCCCCAGGAGAACAACCCCAATGTCAGCAGGTGGTGCTCCAGCCCAACGTTGTGATGCCGTTGCCCTGCCCACTGCTGTCCAATCTGGCTTCCCGGCACTGGGTGCACAACGGGGCTGCCCTCGGCGCCGCTGTCCTGGTGCTGCCCAAGGGAGAGCTGCTGCTGGTGGGGAGCCCAGCCGAGGTGGGCCGCTATGAGTGCTGGTCTCATGAGGGCAGCTTCCAGCAGTTGATGGCAAGCTACTGTGTGACTGTGGAGCCAAGGCTCTGGGCCAAGCTGGTGCCTGCCCAAGACCCCCTGAAGACCCTCAGCACCTCCAGGAGCATCTCGGGAGAGAACATCTCAGTGCTGTTGGAGGGCAGGACCTACTGGACTGAGTTCCTTGTGATGTGTGGGCTCTTCAGTATTGCCGTGATGCTGCTGATCCTTTTCACGCTGCACAAGCACCAGGTCAGCCTGAAGGTCTGCCTCAAGCAAGGCCGATGCAGCTGGTCCCATCCCAGGACTTCGCAGGACAGAGAGGCCCTGCCCACTGAGAATATGCCTCCCCTGGCTGCCCTGAACGTGTCTGGTACTCTGGCAGACCACAAGGGCTACCAGGCTCTGTGCGAGAGTCTGGTGGTGAGCACGCCTGGGCACGAGTCCCTAGCCTGCCCACGCGTGGCTTTTCTGGAGTCTGATCGGCGACCACTTAATATATCTAAGACTTTTGTGGAGGTGTTGGGTCCTGCCCAGCGCCCTCGGGTTCGCCTTGGCTCTGAGATCCAGGACTCGGTTGTGTGACCTTCCCCGAGAGGTGCCGTTCTTGTGGGCTTGAAAGGAGCCGGGCGGAGTCTTCTGGTGTCACCATACTCTGGCAGAGGAACAGGCAGAAGGGCAGCCCCGCTCAGTTAGGGAATAGGGTCAGGCCCTCTAGTTCCTGCATGGCAGTAATGCCACGTAGGGTAGCCACCCGATGTAGAAACCAGGTGCAGCCTCACGTTCTAGGCTGCCCTTCAGGCTCAAGCAGTCCAGTCCTTACAAGCTCTGCCAGGAGGGGACGGAATGGGACAACTGCCTGTGTGCTCCTTCAGGGTCTCCGGGCACCAGGCTCCCATTTCTTCGGCCTTGTGGGTGGGACCGTTGCTGGGAGGGTAACTTGTGTGGTACCAAAGAGCCTCCTGGAAGTCACCTGTGAAGAAGATACTCTGGTTGAGCATCCTGTCTTTGGGAAGGAGAGCCTGGGAGATACGTTGGTCTGACTTCTAATGAACTGTGCACTAGGGAGGCGATTGGTGGACCATTTCGTATCAGAAAAACTCCCGTGTGGTTTCTTTGTAAAACCAGAGACTTGGTCCTGGGGAAGGGAGTGGGTAATAGGTGATATCCACTGATGAGCAGAAAACATCGGGGAGCATCCCCCAGGGTGTGCTCCAGAACAACAGAAGCTACAGCCGGCTCATAAAAGGAACCTATTTCAAAAATCTTGTCTCCCGAGATTTGACAAACTCCAACCATCACACTTTAAGAGGCCTTTCTCCCCAGTGAAATATTTAATAACCTTTCTGTTATTCTGTGTAAATATTCCTTTACACAGGCTTAATATCTTGCCTTCCAGGGGAGGGAGGAGCAGTGATCCACGACTCTTGGACCATGTTTGGGTGAAGCCATTGAAAGAGTTCCTCTGCTGCCTTTGAGACCGTAGCTGGTGCTCTGAATAATTGCCCCATTACTAAATGTTTGGCTGGCCTGAGGGGGGAGAAGCCATCTTTGCTGGTAACTTGGGTGCAGTTGCCCTAACGTGGGGCTTGACTTTGGTTCAGGAGTTTGTTGATTGATCATTGTTTGTGGTCTGTGACCATAAACCATCTCCCTTGGCCTGTTCCACCAACTGGATGGAGCGGCTGCTTTGTGAAAAGGCCAAGTCCCCACCCACCAAAGGTGTTAACTCCTGAAGGCCCAAGGACAGTCCAAGAGGACCCACCAGGATTCCTGCAGGGAAAGTTCCTTGCACCGCTGGAAGCAGGGATCTTCGTGTGCTGTTTTGGGCTCCCAGAGGGAAGGGAGCTGGGCAGCTGCTACAGCTGTTGGTCAAGGACTGAGCAATATAGATGAACTTGTTCTTTGGAAGTGAAATAAAGATGGAGGAACATGAGTGGGTTCCATTTATTGAGTTTTATTTAGTAAAGTGTAGAAATCAGACAAAATCATGTCACGACTGTGTTTATCGAACTCCAGAGGCTGGCTGATGGCTGGTGCTCTTCCCCATCACTCAGAAAGCAAGAAAAATGGTGCAGCGATTCAGACCTTCCAATATGTCCAGCAGGGTTTAACTGGAAAAGTCTCTGTTGCTCCAGAAGGCAGAAAGCAGCAGGGGAGACATCAAAGCCCTGCCACAATTTGCTCTTGAATTTTGATCTCCTACAGCAGCCACCCCAAGCCATCGCACAGAACCGCCAGGTGAGACAGAGGCAGAAGCAAAGAAAACCAGCCACAGCTCCCAGTGCCCTTGCCCCACCCAGCTCTCCCTATAGAAACACCAGCTGGTGGAGATGACTGCAAGGCCAGTGGCTCCAAGAGCTAGATGGGGTCAAGGTTTAGATTCCTGTTGCTGTGAGAAAATGAGCCTTTTTCTGAGATGTGGAATCTTCTAGCAAGTTGTGGAAGAAAAGAATCAGAGCACAATCTTGAAGGAGCTGGAAGAAAAAGGAGGACTAGGTTCCTTCTAAAGCACAACTGTCCCTCCCAAAAAACAACTAATTCAGCCAAAGCTCAACCCCCTCCCAAAACGGGCAGTTACCTGGTGAAGTCTGGAGAGCGGGAAATTATATGCTGGAACTCGGAGAGGTTGATGGTCCCATCTTTGTCAATATCTGATTCCTCTAAGATCTGCCCAAAAGGGGAGGGGGCATAGTGGGTCAGAGTTGGCTGTGCCCCTTCTGGCTAGCCCTCCTGACATGCCCCTCTCCCAGCACTCACATTCTGAATGAGCTGCTCCATCTCCAACAAGCTCAGCCTGCTGTCTTCTCCTTCTCCCGTCAGGGAGTTCACCAATTTCTCCAAATCCTTCTTATCGAGAGTGCCGTCATCATCGAAATCTAGGGAGAAGACGGGGCGAGAAGCTGCGCTTAGGATTCCCAAAGCTAGAAGCCTTCTCAGCTCGGGTAAGGGGTGTTTAGGAGGAAAGGCTGAGCTCCAAGTTCATTCAGGTGTGAGAGAACAGCTGCCCCTCAGTTGGCAGGTGAAAGTGGATCTCCTCTGGTAACAGGTGCACATTCAAGGATCCAGAGAAACAGCCACTCCCCCCCCCATGTAATCCAGCAAGTGAGTGGGGGAGGAGATTCAACCAGATTAACTCTGGCCGGTTTTAAGATCCCTTGCCTTGCTTGTTGAGGGCCGGGCATGCCAAAGCAAGAGGCCAGGGGAGGAGAGATGCCACCCCACCGGGCCCTAACCGAACTGCCAAGTCTGCGTTCCCAGGCGGGCCGGCCCACAACAGGCCGCCCAAGGCATCGAAGCCCCCCGGCTACAAGGCGCCGCCCCGCCCCCAGCCCTACCGAAGAGGCGGAAGGCGTAATGCGACTTGATTTCGGGGGTGGCCGAGTCGCTGAAGACGCTCAGCAGGTCCAGGAAGTCCTCGAAGGAGAGCGCCTCCTCGCCGGCCTCCGCCGTGGAGAAGATGCGGCACATCCTGGTGCGGAAGGGGTTCGCCTGCAAGAGCCGGGGGGGGGGGGGGGTCTCGGGCCCGCCGGGGGGGGGGGCCCCCCCCCCCCCCCCCCCACCCGGGGGGGGGGGGGGGGGGGGGAGGGGGCTCCGGGGCGGCTCACCCGCAGCTCGGGCAGCGTCAGGAGGCGGCTCTCGGGCACGCGCGTCTGCAGGGCCTGGCCGCGCGCCTCCCGGGGCAGCAGCTGGCAGAAGCGCTTGTGGGCGCTGCAAGGCAAGGCAAGGCAAGGCAAGGCAAGGCGGCCGTCAGCGCGCGCTTAGAGGCCCGTCGCGGAAAGGGCGGCGGCTGGCTCGGCTCCTGCGGGGCGCCCCCGCCCCCCCGCCCATCCCCCCCCGCGTACTCACAGCAGGATCTCCTGCTTGCTCAGGAAGGTCAGCTCCTGCGGGAGAGAGGCGGTCAGGGGCAGGCAGGCAGGCAGCCCCCCCAGGCCCCCCTCCCTCGCTCCCTCCCTCCCTGCCGGGACTGTTGCGCACCTGGTATTCGCCCAGCAGGTCGCGGGGCAGGCGGCTACCCGAACCCCCCATCCTTCCCTCTGGCACCCGCGGCTCCTCTTCCTCCTCCGCCTCGTCCCGCCCCTGGGCGGAGCGGCTGCCAGACAGCCCCGCGGCGCCGGCAGGAAGAGCCCGCCCGCCCGCCGGCTCGGGGAGGAGGAGCGCCTGCGCTGCGGGAGCCGGCTCTACTGCCACGCGGAGCCCTCCGGCCGGCCGTCTTTCCTGCGGAAGTCCCGCCGCGGGCCCGCAGCCGGCTTCCCGCATGGCCGCGGCGGGGCCCGGGGAGGCCGGGCAGGGCGGCGGGAGCCCCGCGGAGCCCCCCGAGCTCTTTTGCTACGGGCCGGAGGAGCTGGTGCTGCGCGGGGTGGAGTGGCCGAGAAGCGGCGCGGGGGCGGCCCTGGGCAGCCCCGCCGGGTCGCGCTTCGACCGGGCGCTGCGGGAAGGCTGGGAGGAGCGGCTGCGGCGGGGGCTGTTCCGCTACCGCCTGGGCCAGCTGCAGACGCGGGTCCTGCCGGGCAGGCTGGGGCTGGTGGCGCAGCTGAACGTGCAGCGGGCGACCGAGAGGAGGCGGCCCCAGGAGGTCCGCAGCGTCCGGCAGAGCTTCGATCCCGGGCAGTTCAACTTCGGGCAGATCCGGCGGGAGGAGGTCCTCTTCTGCCTGCGCCGGCGCGGCCCCGGCCTGGCCAGCTCGCCCGGGACCCTGGTGGCCATCAACGTCAGTCCGCTGGAGCGGGGACACGTGCTGCTCATCCCCGACCCTGCGCTCGCCCTGCCGCAGATCCTCACCCCGGAGGCCCTGCTGGCGGGGCTGGACGCCCTGCTCCTCAGCGCCCAGCCCGGCTTCCGCCTGGGCTTCAACAGCCTGGGCGCTTTCGCCTCCGTCAACCACCTGCACCTGCACGGCTTTTACCTGGACTGGGAGCTCTCGGTGGAGTCCGCCCCCGGCGAGCCCCTCCTGCCCGAAGCGGGCCTCTACCTGCTGCGGGAAGCCCCGGCGCCCGCCTTCCTCTTCTACTGCGACGACGGGCGGCAGGTGGAGCCGCTGGCCCATCGGATCGGCCGGGCCACCCGCCATCTGAGCCAGCGAGAGATTGCCCACAACTTGTTCGCCACGCGCGGGGCTGCCCCCGAGGGCCCCCGTGGCTCCAGAGCTCGACCCGGCATCCGGGTCATTCTTTGGGCGCGGAAAGCCTGCTTCGGGACCAAAGAAGAATTGGCCTTCAACGTAGCAGTTTGTGAACTGGCAGGACATCTGCCCACCAAAACTGTCCAGGAATACCAAGGCCTCACCGAGGCCTCAGCCCTTCACAGGATTCAGCAATGTCTCCTCCCAGACAGCCAGTTAGCCCAGCTTCAGCGAGAGCTTGTGGACCTCCTCCGAGAGTTGCCCTCCTCACCTCCATGGCCTTCCTGACAAGTGGGCTGGAAGAAGCCCCCTTCAGGCCCAGGCCCCAGGGTTCCACCCCTGCCAGGATGCCGAGCTACCCGCCGCAATGTGGGGCTGCTCAGGAGGAAGCCAGGCTGATGGAAGTTGGGGGTCTGTTTTATGTTTATGTTTTACTGTTTTACAGGCCGCCTCCCAGGGTTGTGTTATATATGGCCCCCCAAATGCTTTTTAAAAAATCAGTTCAAATGCATTGGTTCTTCGTTTTGCATTACACACTTTACCTCCAAAGAGAATACATAGAGTGTGTGTGTGCATTTTTCGGTTGTATTAAAAATGTATTAACGGTGTTTAAAACCACTCATGGGTCTGTTGAATTGGAGCAGCATGCAAGGCCAAATAAATACATATACTTTATTTTTATGAGCTCCCTTCTATTTATAGGGAAAAGGCAAAATTGTATGCTGTCAATTTATTTAATGAACTGAATTTCATTTCAACTAATAGACTGCAATACGAGAAGGACTGGATCAGAAGAAATAGAAGTTGGAATTAACATTACAGGAAAAAAAGCTTTGACAATCTTAGGATGAAAGAGGAGAGAGTAAAAAGCCAGTTGAATATTGAATCTTCTGAATCAGAATAGATCTGGAAGGGACCTTGGAGGTCTTCTAGTCCAACCCCCTGTTCAAGCAGAAGACCTTATACCATTTCAGACAAGTGACTATCAGTACTGGCCTAATGCAGATACACTGAGAAAGTATGTCTTGGAACAGTGCCATACTTTTTCTCTCTAGGCTCAAGACAAGGGTCATGAAATACAGAGGCATCAGCTATCTGGGAGGAAGGAAGACCATATCAGACCCAGAACAAATCAGCAGAGACACCATACACAAAACTATGTATTGTCAAGGCCACATTTTTTCCCCAGGCTGAGAAAGGCTGAAGGAAGAAAAATGGATGTTTTACATTATGGTGCAGAAGAAAACAAGATCAAATCACTCCATGCTATTTGCTCTACTGGAAGCACTAATAAAAACGCTGAAGCTTAATTTTGAAACTTAATGTGAAGACAGTAGAGAAGTTCCTGATGTTTGGAAAAATCTAAGGCCATTAAAGCCAACAGAAGACAGGGCACTCATGATAGAATCTGGGTACCCTGACTTCTGTTGGCCTCCCTATCAAGATAGTTCCCATTGGTTGGAATTGACTGATAATAGCATAAAAGCATAAAAGATGGGCATTATGCAAACACAACCCTTTTTTTAGACTGTTTTTCTTAGTCCAATTACAAGATGCTAGATTTACATTAAAGATTTTGTGGCTAAAAACTTCTATTTCCTCTGCTGCTTCGCCGTTTCAACCCTGCCTTCTGTTTCTCTTGGTCTTTCTAACCTCGGGGGCCGAGGATCCTGCTCTGCCTTGCAGCGGCCAATCCGTCCAGCATTCACCGCAAATCACCTGGTCCTCGCCCGCGCCGCATTGGCAAGCCCCAGCGCGCGCTCCGCCTAACCCGACCCACTGGGCCGGCCGTCCCGTTGCTCCCACCGGCTCCAGCACGGGGCCTGGCGGCTCTTTCCTCCGGGCGCCGCGACATTCGCCCCGCCCCCTGCGGCCGCTCCCCAACAGGGGCAGAGCAGAAACGTCTCGGCCGCAAGGGGCGGGGCGCGGGCGGAGACGTCAAACCAGCTCGTCGCCCAGAGATGACGAAAGAGCTATTGGCACCCCGCCTTCGCGTCCTTCGTTGCCGTGGCGCCAGGGCCCCGTGCGCGCTCCGTAGGCCGCCTGACGGGCGGGGTTCCCGGTCGTCATGGTGACCGCGTCGTGGCCCGAGGGAGCCTCAGGCGCCGCCGCTGCTCCAGGAGAGCCGCCGGGCTCGGTGAGCAGGGCGGCCGCGATCGAGGCTTCCCCCGGCCCGTGCGCGGGGAGCGTGTCCCGGCTGGGCTGTGCGGGCGGCCGCCGGCGAGGCGGGCGGCGGCGTCGCGCGGGAGGGCTGCAGGCTCGCAGTAATAATGGCTGCGCTTGTCACAATCGCTGCCGCCGCGCTGACGGCCCGGCTGCTGCTCTTGCCCAGGGGCCCGAGAGGATGAAGATCGGCCGAGAAGAGAGCAGCGAGTCCGAGAACGAAAGCGACGAGGAGGACGAGGAGGAGGACGGCGGCCTGTCGGACGAGTCTGCCAACGAATGCCTCAAGAGGCCGGAGGCCGAGCAGAAGGAGCCTCCGCGCGCCTCCCCTCCGGACAAAGGCCCAGAGCCCGGCCGGGAACAGCCCGGGGCCGGCCCGGAGGAACCCACGGCGGAGGAGGGCGAGCCGGAGGAGCCCCGGCCGAAAAGGAAGAGGAGGCACCGGTGCGCTCCCGGAGGACGGGCGGGAGGGCGGGCAGCGCCCCGGGCCTCCTCCCGCGGCCGGCCGGGGCTTCTCCTTGCGGGAGCCCAGCAGCGCCGGCTGCCCCCTCTCCCGCCCGGCGCGACGCCCTTCTCTGTTCTCCTCCTAGGCTGCTTTCCATCAACCTCGCGAACTGCAAATACGAAAGCGGTGAGTAAAGGCGGCTTCTTTGGCGCTTTCCTCTGCACACTCGGGCACAGAGATTGGCACAGAGTCAGAGCAAAAGTGAAATAACTAGAGGTAACCTGATTTTCTCTCCTGTATCAAGAATGAAATCTCCGGGGTTTTCTGGGCTGGGGGCGTCGGCTTTTGCATTCCAAAGGAGGATAAAGTCTTCCTGTATGAGCTTTGTGCAGGAATGCAGGAATGAGCCAGGGCTGTCTAATCTGGGCCAGGAGAGCCACTGGATTCCTTGCCAGGAAAGGGAGGATTCCAGGGACTCCCTTGGAGGGGTGAATACTCTGAATGATCCTTCCTGATGCTCAAGTGCCTGTAGCTTCTGGTCCTGCAAGCAAGGCCAGAAGATCATCGGATGCCTCTTGGAACCAGCTTTGTCCATCTGTTTACTTTGCTGCAGTTAGGCGTGCTGCTCGGCGCTGTGGCCTGAAAGAAGTGGGGGAGGATGAGGAGTGGACTGTTTACTGGACTGACTGCTCAGTTTCACTGGAGCGTGTCATGGAAATGAAGAGGTTTCAGGTACCCAGCACAGCCAGGGTGAAGGGAGCGGAGAAAAATAAGCACTGATTTCAGTTCTTTTATAGCTTGGGAAGCCTGGCTGACTGCCAAGTTCTTAAAGCGGGGAGCCTTTTCCTGGAGTTGGGAGATGGAAAGGGAGAGGGAGAGGCACTAGGATCTGGGATATCCCATGGCAGGGCTTATACTGCCCATTCCATGTAGCTCCCAACAGTGGGAAAAGATTAGAAGAGCCTCAGAAGGATGAGAATAGGGACTCACCAAAGAGTAGCCAAAGTAGCTGGGTTCCTATCTATAATATTTCCACCTCCACCCCCACAATACTTTTATGCAGCAGTTCACTTTGTTTAGTTATTGGGTGAAATGAATAAAAAGTTGCTAATGTGCCTTTATTTTTTGCTAGGGAGGTTGGGGTTTATTTTTTTTTACATGCATTCATAATTATTTTCTTAAATGTTGAAGCTGTTTGGGAAGATGCATTCCGTGACTGAAAAGTGGGGCAAAGCATTCTGCAGAACAACAAAACGAAAGCTGTGCCAGGGCACTTCCATTTCCTCCTCCTGCTTTTGCTTCATTCCAGAAAATCAACCACTTTCCTGGCATGGCCGAGATCTGCCGCAAAGACCTGCTGGCCCGCAACCTCAACCGGATGCTGAGGCTCTTTCCCAAGGAGTACTGCATCTTCCCTCGCACCTGGTGCTTGCCAGCTGAGTGAGTGAATGAGAGGCGGCAGTGGTTGTGCCAGCCACAGGGAACCCTCTCAGTTGACATAGCATGGGATGCTGGAGGCACGTGGGTCGGTTACATGCCTGTCCCTGTGTTGTCTCTGCAGCTACGGGGACTTCCAAGCCTATGGGCGAATGAGGAAGAACAGGACATACATTTGCAAGCCGGACAGTGGCTGCCAGGGGCGGGGCATCTTCATTACCCGGAACCCCAAGGAAATAAAGCATGGCGAGCACATGATCTGCCAGCAGTATATTACTAAGGTAGGCCCAGGAGCCTGGGGGCCAACAGTTGTCCAGCCCTGGGACAGAGAGCAAGAGCCCCAGACAGTTGAAATTGTGATCTCGGCTACGGGTCCTCGGGCTACAATCAGTCAGCTGGGAATTGTTCCTTTCCCTCAGTCTCTCATCCTCTCTTTGTAGCCCTTCCTCATTGATGGCTTTAAGTTTGACATGCGCATTTATGTCTTGGTCACCTCCTGCGACCCCCTGAAGATCTTTGTCTATGAGGAGGGGCTGGCCCGCTTTGCCACCATGAGGTACATCGAGCCCAACAGCAGCAACCTGGTAAAGAAGCCCAGGAACTGGCATTCGCTTTGTAGGAAGATAAGCTGTTGGTGTCTGATGGGGCTTTGGGAATGACTATGGAGAATTTGACATGGTGAATCCTTGGGCCTGCAGGGCTCCCTGGGCTGGCGCATTGGTGGTACAGGGGAACAAGGAGAAGGTGAAGCAGGTGGGCAAGGGGAGAACTCCAGGGGCCTTCAGGAGTGAAGAATCAGGCTCCTCCTCCCAATGTCTCTCTCACAGGATGACATCTGTATGCACTTGACCAACTACGCCATCAACAAGCATAATGAGAACTTTGTGCGGGATGACAACACGGGCAGCAAGAGGTATTGCTTGTACCCATTCCCTTGCAGGAGAGGAGGCAGCACTTCTGCTAGTAGGGACTGGGGGGGCGGATAGGGGCCCATTTGTAGGAAACTCCACTTTTCTTAACTCCATGCAACAGCTGCTTTGAAAAAAGTAGTTGATTTGCCCCATCTGTGTGGCTCCTGAGGTGGGCAACAAGGCATACCTGTGTCCTGATGGGAAAGGCTCTGTCAAGATCTCCATCTCAGAAGGAGCTGGGGGAAGTCTCTCTGCCCAGAGCAAATGGCTGTACCCACCCTGGACAAGGCTGGGAACAGTAAGCTTCTCTTTGCACCCCTCTGTAACTGGGAGGGATGTGGCTGCACTCCAAGGGAAAGTCAGACTCCCTTGGAAGGGCCTAGAGTTCCGGGGGGGGGGAGGGTGCTGTTGCTGAGTGATCCTGGGGCAGTGCTGGAGTAGAATTGCTCCTGCAGCAGCTCTTCTCCCTCTCCTCACTCAACAGGAAGCTGTCCACCCTGAACACTTGGATGCGGGAGCACAACTATGACACAGCTGAACTGTGGCGGGACATTGAGGACATCATAATCAAAACGCTCATTGCTGCTCACCCAGTTCTGAAGCACAACTATCGCACTTGCTTCCCCAACCACATCTCTGGTTGTGCCTGCTTTGAAATTCTGGGCTTCGACATCCTCCTTGATCGGAAACTCAAACCGTGGCTTCTGGAGGTAGATATCCTTCCCAAAGTCATTCGACAGTGAGATGGGTGAGATATAAATTAAATAAAGTGTCCATCTGAAGCAGGAAGAGTTGCCCTTTGGTTTACCTGCTCTAGCACCTGTTGAATTTTGAGGAATGAAGTTGTCCTCAGAGATTTTGAAAGTTGGGGATGAAGTAGGGCAATCTTTGTAAACATCCATCGAGCAGTAGAAACAGATATTTCAAATTAAGAACCATCCATTCAGTTTCTGTTGCCAGCCCTTCCCTCATCCCAGCAGAGAATTTCTTGAGCGCTTCTCTTTGAGACCCAAAGGAACAGTTTCCTCTGCCTGAAGGGATACCCATCTTTTGTTCTTAGTAGTGTCTATGGAGATTCTCAGTCATCCAGGTCATGGTTCTTAGATGAGAAGCTTCTTGGTCAGAGGTGAAGAAGCTTCTTGGATGAGAAGCAAAACATCTTCAAAGAAAAACCAGAAAATCCAGTTGCCTCTTGAAAAAGCACCTTTGGGATATCCTTAGTAGTATTCTCTCCTAACCTAGGTCCTACGTACAGCCTTACAAGCTGTTTTTTTTAGGAAATTAAAAAAGAAGAAGAGATATCAAAGAGATGTTGTGATTCCCTTGGTTCCTCAGGTCAAAATGAATGGAAATGCTGCCTTGGGGGCGGGGTGTCTTTGATCACTCTTTCAGGTCAACCATTCTCCCAGCTTTACCACGGACTCGCGTCTGGATCGGGAAGTGAAGGATGCCTTACTTTGCGATGCAATCAATCTCATCAACCTGCGGGCCTGTGACAAGAAGAAGGTGCTGGAAGAAGACAAGAGGCGGGTGAAGGAGCGCCTTCTGCAGCCCCACCAGCAGCCCCGAGAAGCCAGGTAGCTTTGTGAGCCCCTGCCAGGTTGGTGGTGGCCTTTCCCAGAGGGTCCTCGCCATTCTCTGTCCAGCCACCGCAGGGGAGACAGTCATAGGGCGAGCGGAGAATCTGAACTGTACACTGTGTGCACAATTACAGGTAGTTCTCAACTTACAACAATTCACTTAGTGACTGTTTAAAGTTACAACGGCACTGAAAAAAGTGACATGACAATTTTTCACACCTATGACCATTGCAGCATCCCCATTTTCATGTGATTTACATTTGGATGCTTGGTAACTGGTTCATATTTATAATGGTTACAGTGTCCCGGGTCATGTGATCACCTTTTGTGACTTTCTGACGAGCAAAGTCAATGAGGAAGACAGATTCACTTAACAACCTTGTTACTAATTTAACAACTACAGTGATTCATTTAACAACTGTGGCAAGAAAGGTTGTAAAATGGGGAAAACAATGTCGGCTGGCGACCCCTAGGGGGAGAGCCTTCTCTGTGGGGGCACCTACCGTCTGGAATGAGCTCCCCCTGGAGATACGGAGGATCCCGGATCTGCGCACCTTCCGCCGCGCTGTGAAGACCTTTTTATTCCAGCAGGCGGGCTTGGCCTAATCTCTTCCCTTTTAAATATGTAAATTTTAATCTGTTTTTAAATTATTGGGGTGTTTTAATCTGTCTGGGCCAAAATAATTTAATTTGATTTTATCTGGTTTTTAAATTTTTTATGTCTATGTTATTTTATTGTTTGGCTGTTCACCGCCCTGAGTCCTTCGGGAGTAGGGCGGTATACAAATCGAATAAATAAATAAATAAAAATAAATAAAACCTCACTTAACAAATATCTCACTTAACAACATACATTTTGGCTCAATTGTGGTTGAGGACTACCTGTATTAGGCAAGTATGTTGACCATATCATCATTTTAATGCATATATCTATCTCTAAGCAGTATAAACTGGAATGCTTAGTGGATATAAGCACATTCAGGTGATGTGTATTTGTGTAAATGAGGAAGGATGTGACCTAAAGGGGATCAACACCATATTATTATTAGGCAGCTTCTTTTCCTCAGGCAAAATGCCCTCCCCCAAAAAAAGATTTAACTGACTCTGATAAGTCAAAAATTGTAAAAAAGTCTTTCAGAGGGATGCAGCACTCTTTGCTAAGATATTGGGGTGTGATCACAGAACCATCAAATGTTTTGTTGCAAATGGTAATCAGGGCAGAAAGAAATGTGTTGAGAAAAAAGACGCGAATTAACTGCCAAAGATTTGAGAAGAATCAAATGTGAAAGTACTAGGAATCCATTATCCTCCAGTGCTGTCATACTCCACAATTGCAACCTACCTGAAGTGCCCAGAAGTACAAAGTGTTCAGTGCCCAGAGACATGGCCAAGGTAAGGAAGGCTGAAACCCGACCACCACTGAACAAGACACATAAGTTGAAATGGCAGGAATGGGCCAAGAAATATCTGAAGACAGATTTTTCAAAGGTTTTAGGGACTGATGAGATGAAAGTGACTCTTGATGGACAAGATGGAAGGGCCCGTGGCTGGATCAGTAAGGGGCACAGAGCTCTACTTCTACTCAGGATGCCACCAAGGTGGAGGTGGGGTACTGGTATGGGCTGGTATAATTGAAGATAAGCTAGCTGGACCTTTTTGGGTTGAAGATGGACTCAAAATCAACTTCCAAACCTACTGCCAGTTTTTAGAAGACTCTTTCTTCAAGCAGTGGTACAGGAAAAAGTCTGTCCACATAGATATTCTCCCAAGAAAACCAAAAACTCACTTTTACTTTCTTAAGCATTCAGGTTGAGGTTTATTAACATATTAGATTGACCAAGAGCACTATAGTCATTCAGTAATAAAATTAATCGTCCAACATACAACTTGCCTAATAATTGTGCACACAGTATAGGCTGCTGTGTGTGTGTGTGTGTGTGTGTGTGTGTGAGAGAGAGAGAGAGAGAGAGAGAGAGAGAGAGAAAAGCCCAGGGCAGGAAGGTTCCCTATGGCCCAGTGGGTCTATGGTTTAGGGCCAACTCTTTGTTATCTTTCAGGCGTGAACAGATGGAGAGCAGCCAGGCCGCCTGGCTGGCCCAAGCAGAGAAGTATGAGAACAGCCACCTGGGCCACTACCGGCGAATCTTTCCTTCACATGGCACTGAAAAGTACAGCCCTTTTTTCAAGCACAGTGGATCCCTCTTCCAAGAGACGGTAGCCTCCAAGGCCCGAGAAGAGTGTGCCAGGTAGCTGGAGGGTGGGGGGAGAGAAATGGGGCTTTTGATCTTAATGAAACTGTGCAAGTGTAAGAGCAGCCTGTGTGACTGCTGACTGCATGGCCCTTTCCGCCCCAGGCAGCAGCTGGAGGAGATCCGTCAGAAGCAGGAGCAGAGGGAGAACACAGCTGGGAGGAAGAAACGGGAAGTGAAGGAGAGCTTGCAGGGGGAGTCAGCTGGAGAGAAGGCTCAGGAGAAGAGCAAGGGCAAGGCTGCCCTCACCCGAATGGCGTACAGCCACAGCAAGACCTGGAGCCCCAAGGTGCCCTGCGAGCAGGGTGGGGGTGGGGCACTCCCTTAGCTTGTGCATGGCAAATATATGGACGTCTGCCCAAATGCAGTCAAGGTGGAGTTCCACACAGTGCTGCATGAACTTGGGAGAAATAGAAACTGATCTTGATTGGTGTTACCTTGAAAAGAAGCTGCCAGGTGGCTGAAATCTGATACTGAGGACAGTGTGTTGCCCCTTCCCTTGGCTGGCTGGCTGGCTGCCCTTGAGTGATGTGCAGAGGGCCTCAGTGGGGCCTGATGTGCTCAGGAATCAGCAAGAACCCCTCAGCCTTGGAGCTGCTGAGCAGCTGGCCAAAGGGGGGGCCAGCACAAGCCAAGGAAGTTGGGGCTGGAGCCTACCAGCATCAGTTCTAATCTTAAGAGAATCAAAGAGCCTCTGGTTTTGTGTTTAAAAGAGAGTTTAAGAGAGTGTTTAAAAGTTAATTTAAATGGGCATATGTGAATTTTTGAATTAACAAGCTGCCATTCTGCTTCCCAGATGGCTTCCTTACAGTATGACAGCATGACTCCCCAAGCAATAGTGGAGGAAGAGGAAGTCGAGAGAGTCAAGGCCCTCCTGCGGCGAGAAAACCTCATCCGGGGGCTTGGCATTGTTGACCAGCTGACCCGCCTGCTGCGCAGTGCCGAGCCAAAGCCTGTGGAAGTCCAGAGGCCCCACATCAATGTCTCTGAATGCCAGGTGACCCTCTGCACAGGCCTGTCATCCCGGGGAAGGGCTGGGCACCAACGTGGTCCAATGGGGAAACTCAAGGCAGCCTGTAGCTGGGCAGGACCATTTAGCCATGTGATGCAAGCCCAGCTCATGGCAGAAATTCAGAATAAAGCCTTCCCATCTGATGAATGGGAGCCCACAGCTTCTACTTTCAGTCTGTTTTTACTGTCATTTTTTTCCAACTTTCAGCCAGAGTCTGCCCCCCATTAATCTAAATGGATTATCTTATGTTCAGGTTTTTAGAACGGTCCTCAGTGTGAAGTATTTGATGGGGCTGTGGGATTTCTCTGGTTGTCTTTGCTTGGGACTAAACTCCCTCCCTCCCTTGGCCTCTGTTTCTGGTCCCCTGTTTCTGTTCCTTCTCCTTCTGTTCTGTGCCAGGGTGTGTTTGCAACCACCTTAAAGCTGGTGTCTGAAAGAGGAGAGCACAGACAGAAGCAGAATCCCCTAGAGCTCTTGCTTCCATTAAGCAATCAATTGTTTAATTTGGAAGGGCCCAAATATGCCGTTAATAATTTTCTGATTTGTGGTGTGCCTTTGAGTCAATGTTTGACTCTTATTTTTTTTTTAATTAATTTGATTTATATGCCGCCCTTCTCCGGAGACTCAGGGCTGCTTACAATGCGTTAAGCAATAGCCTTCATACTTTTGTATATTTATACAAAGTCAGCTTATTGCCCCCACAATCTGGGTCCTCATTTTACCTACCTTAGAAAGGATGGAAGGCTGAGTCAACCTTGAGCCTTGGAGAGATTCGAACTTACAGTAATTGCAGACAGCTGATGTTAATCACAATGCTTTTAGTCTGCTGAGCCACCAGGCCCTTGGCAACTGCCTGGACTAATCCCTGCAACTTTCCTGACAAGGTTTTTCAGAAGTGGTTTGTTACTGCCTCCTTCCTCGGGCTAAGAGAGAGGGACCGACCTGAGGTCACCCCGATGACTCCTCACCTCCAAACCAGCTCTCATTTCCCAATCTGAGGCATTAAACAACCTGCCTCCTATAGGGCAGGGCAAGTCATTGCAGAAAATCTGCACCTTTCAGAGCCTGGTGGGTACTGGTGGATGGCGCAGGAAGGTTGTTTTCCCAAAACTTCAACTTGATGCTTTTGTCTTCCAGCCCCATTTTCTCCAGGATGTGTTCAACAACCACAACACCCAGGACTTGATGACCCTTGTTCCCCTCTCCCTCCTGAGGGGCTCAGCTCAGGAGCTCGGCCGCCAGATCCTGCAGCAGCAACCCACAGCACGAGTCCAGCTGCTGGGAAACCAAGGCTTCATCCCAACTATCCTGGGAGCCCTCTCGGGCCTTGGCCCCCCTCGCGAGCCACAACTCCACTTCCAGCCACCCAGGAACCTCAGCTGGCTGGGCACAGCCATGGTGGGCGAACCTTGCACTCTGGCGCGGATGCTGAAAGCAGGAGGGCGGCGCTTTGCCAGTGCCAAGAATAAAGCAGAAGGCAGTGAGTGTCTGGCTGGGAGCTGGGGATCCCTGCAGGGGCCTTCCCTGCCTGACAACGTTCCAGGGCTCAGGAGAGCACAAGGGCTCTAGCAAATGTGGGCCAGGCCAAGAGACTTGTCTGGGCACCCATGTAGCCTGGGACGCTTCCTTGCCCACTTCAGCCCTGTGCGGAGGAAACAGTGTTGGCTCTGCAGTTTAGATCAGGATTAGACAGCCCGAACACAGCTAGCGGGGTGGGGGGGGGAGGGAGAAGCTGTGCACCTTCCTACAGTCAGTCCTGGCTACAAGGCCCCTGAGAACCACCTCACCTCCGGCAACCATTTTGGCCACAGAAAAGGGGCAGAAAGGGAGTTCTGGACTTGGAGCTTGTTTGGATCTTGGGGTGCAGAAGAGATTAGGGTCCATTTACAGAGTTGCAGAAATCCGGCCTGCTCCTGGCCAAGACCTCCAGATGCCGTTTCCTTTTCCAGACAGAGTTTCATCGAGCAAGAGACCCCTGTACATGAGCCCCGGCTCCTTGAATTGCCTGTCCCACCCTGGAAACGTCGCAGGCACCATATACAGCAGCTTCCCCTTCCCGTCTGTTGCAGCTCCTCTCAACCGTGCTGATCTGCATGGACTGGCCATCAACTCGGCTTCAGCTCCCCTCATCCGGCGCGGGAGTCCCCATCGTGCCACCACTGTGGCTGCTATGCATTCCAGCCAAGCCAGGTAGCAGCCCCCTCACTTCTTCCCTCACCCTGAGTTGGGGCCAAGCCTGCGACTCCTAGCCAGCTGGCCTTTTCTTCCTTCAGGAAGGGGACCTGACCCGAAATCTCAGCGGATCCTTGGAGCCCAAAGAGTTGGGGCTGGGGGGCGCCTATTACTGATCCATGTGCCGGGGGGCAACAGCAGAGAATGAATCTCTGCCCTGGTGCATCCAGACACCTGCATCTCTTTCAGCCATTCTCCCCAAAACTTCCACCTCTGCAGAGCCGTGTTTCCCCTCCAGCTAACAGCAAGTTCTGAGAACGGTTCTGTGCACTTGGGCTGCACCCCTCCTCTGCTCTCTCTGCAAGCCAGGTTCCCGCTGCAGATGCCAGTCAGCCTGCCTAAGCCCTGGGACAATTCTTGAAAAGCCCTGTGGGCTGGGAAGAGGTTTCTTTTGTAGCCAACTTTGTATTAAAGTTTTATACAGTTCTACCCACGAGGGTCTGTCCATCCTTTCACTTACAAGCTGCATCCTCCTGTCATTTTTGGGAGGACTCTGAGGCTGGGTCGAGCCAGGTGCCTATTTAGTCCTGCAGAGCTTGATATAGGCAACAGGTTTTTTTTGTTTTTGTTTTAATATAGCTACTGTCAGCGTTCCAGAAAACTACACGTTCCAGAAGCTACACTGTGTGGGTGCAAAAATATATTTGCACTCACACAGCCCCATGTGTTTCACACTTGTTGGCTTTACACTTCATGATTTAACTATCCTTTCAAAGCTTTCCATGCTGGTAACCTTGTGGACACTTTGCGAAGAGAACTACCGAATCTTATGCTGTTTATTAAATGACTGTTGCTGCTAATTTGTGCCTCAGTACTGAATGTAGGATTTGCAGGACAGATACTAAGGAAGTAGAACACCAAGTGCATTGCCAGGACAGGAACAAAGTTTGAAGAAATTCGATTAAGAAATTGTCCTGGAACAGGACAATGATGCCCGCTATCACTTTTACTATTTATATTGACTTTGGAAATCTTGAATAGGAATATTAGGCAAGATTCAGAAATTAAAGGAATGGAGATAAGAGGAAAATTACAAACATTTGCATCTGATTTAGTCAGATGCAATCTTTAGATACAAGATTTAGTATTTATTGTAGAAGAACCATTGGAGACAATTCCTAAACTATTAAAAAAAGATAAGAGGAGTTTGGAGAGGTAGCCGGATTGAAAATAAATAAGAGAAAAAACTAAAGTTATAGTCAAAAACCTTATACAAAAACAAAAAGAACAATTGGCAGAAAAAGTGGACTTGCAAATAGTCAAGAAGGTTAAATACTTGGGAATATACCTAACAGCAAGACGTGCAATGATAAAAGAAGATAACTATTATCTTTTATTAACAAGATATATAATTATTTAAGCAAATAAAATTAGATTTTATAATCTAATAAAATGGGGGAGTGGAGCTGACGTCGCGATGATACAATGGAAGATTTTGGTTCTCCGAGATCACGGTTGATATCTCCACCGCTGGACGGTTCAGTCTGGACCTCACTGTCCCGTAGAGACAGTGATAGAGGAGGGCACATCCTGTCGATCCCAGGGACACCGCAAAGTCCCTGGTTGTTCCAGGAGAAGCCCTTTTTTCTGGCGGTGAAGAGGCAGCCATTAAACTGAAGTTGGGACAGCTCGGAAACGGAAGAGAATGAGTGAAAGTGTGTCAGCTTGGTGAGATTTTTAAAATAGTCTAATTAAGAACACCCTGGGGTGAAAAGATAATTAAAATTGAAGATAAAAGAAGTTAAGTGGCGGAATTGAGCCTGAGTCTAAGTGTTTCCTACATTGCAATTTACTTTTATTTGTGGATGCTTATGGAGGATTTTACTTTTAAAATTTGACTGGACTGGATCAGACTGGAAATTTCTTTCTTATCTGCTTAATTATTAAATTTTTATTGCCTTTTTAGTTTTATATTATTTTGGTTTAGTCTTGTTATTTTTTTCTCTACATTTTAATTTTTCTATTTTGTTTTACCGCTTATTGGACATAGAGGGAAAGTGGAAGAAACAAGAAATACTGCCATCTAGTGGATTGAATCATTTTATTTTATTTTTTATTGGCAAAAAGTAGCAACTGTGTTACATTTTCAAGGACTTTGAGCCTGCTCATAGATAAGATAGAAGTGCATCAAAGACTGTTTACAGGATTGTTTACTCAGGTGCACTTCTGGGAAACTATTATTGACAGGCAGTTGAGACTTGAAAGAAGAAGATTGCAGTGACTCTGGAAAGAGAGCTGTGAAACTTGGTGAGACTTACAAAAGAACTTTTGGATACTACACAGTTGTGGATTTTTCTTTTAGACAAAGTTTTTTTTATTTTTATTTTTATTTTTTTGATATTATATTCCACCTCTCCCTCTTTTAATTATCTTCGACTGGATTGTGTTTGCTTTTAGAAGACTTTTAATATTCTTAAATTTTTGATATATATTTTTCTTCTGCTTTCTTTTTCTCTTTCTCCTTTTTCCCCCTTTTTGATGGGAGATTATTAATGTGTTCAATATCTTTTTGTTTAATTGGAATAAGGCATACAAGAGCCTGAAGAAATTATTTTTGGTTTTTTTTCTTTTTTTCATTTTATATTTTTTATTTTTTGGATTGGAGATTGTTAATTTGGTTTTTATCTTTCTATTCAATTGGATTAGAGAACACAAGAGCCTGAAGATTTTGCTTTCTTTGGATCTTCCCTTTGCTTATTTTATTTGGGATAATATCTGTCATCTAAAAAAACAGATTAAGGTATAGAAGAACCTGAAGATTCTATGATTGTTTGAACAGTTTGAAACTATTTTATAGTCATGAGTAAAAAGGCAGTAGCTATTAGTTTTTCTGCATCGACTCCATCTTCACCATCGGGAGAACAACGATCAATACAGACGATGTTGCAACAGGAAAAGGAGAGGGAACGTGAGAAGGAAAAGGATGCGACAATGCAGATGATTTTGCAAGGAATACAAGACAGAAAATTAAAAATAGTGAGCATTGAACAGAGAGCAGAAAAGATTGAACAAAGAACAGGAAAAACAGATGAAAAAGTGGAGAACATACAACAAATGATGAAGAAATATGAGGACAGACTTCAAAAAATTGAAGAAAAAGAAGAACAAAGAGACAAAAAAATTAGAGATATGGATACCAGATTAGATGAGGTTGAACGTGATAAGAGTGGAATAGGATGGGAGGTGGACAAATCAGAATTCTATTTAAGATTTCAAAATATAGAAGAAAAAGGAGAAAATTTGGCAGAAAAAAATGATAGAAATTTTAGCAGAAAGCATTGGAAATTACTAAAGAAAAGATAATGGATGGCATAGATGAGATATTTCGAGTATATACAAGATATGCAATGAGAAATAAACTACCAAGAGAAGTTCATATAAGATTCACCAAGAAATCAATTAAAACACAAATATTGCAGATTACAAAAGAGAAAACACTGAAATACAAGGGCAAGGAAATTGTGGTTCTGAAGCAAATACCGAGAAGAGTGAGGGAGATGAAAAGAGAATATCAATTTTTAGACAAAAATATTGCTTCAGAAAGGTGTGAACTATAAATGGCCGATACCAGAAGGCCTGGCGTTTACATGGCAATTGCAAAGATTTAAAATAGACTCAATTAATAAAGCCAAAGCATTCTATGCTGAATATCTTAGAGACAAGGAAGTAGAGTTAAGACGGGAAAAGTCATTGGTTGAATTACGAGAGGAATGTCTAGCAATGATTGAAAAGGAAGAAGGCGCAGTAGGGGGCATTGCAGAATATAAAGAACGTAACCGAGATCTACTAGAGCAACAAACCCTTCATATAAAGTATGAACATGGAAGAGAAAAAATTGATTACAATGAACATAAATGGACTTAATACAGAACTAAAAGAAGAAAGGTATTTCATAAATTAGAAAAATTAAAGTTGGATATAATTTGTTTATAAGAAGTACGTATCAAAAAACAATATGAAAAAATGTTGGTACAGCCACAATTAGGGAAATTGCTTCATTGCCGCAATGTAAGAAAAGAGGAGTGGTTTTATATATTAGAGACACAATACCAGCGGAAAAAAATTATGCAGATGAAGAGGGAAGAATTTTGATGATGGAAATGATAGATAAAAATTGAAAAAGTCTTGAATAAATGAGTTGAATAAACTGATCCTGAAATTTATCTGGCAAGGAAAGAATGTGAGAATTAAATTGAAAATGTTACAAGAATCTAAAGAGAATGGAAGATTTGGATTACGAGACTGGCTTTTTATTACCAAGCATGTGTGACAACATGGCTAAAAAAATGGATAACCCTCAGACACAAGAGACTGCTCCTGTATATTTAGAAGGACGTGATTTACAACTGGGATAGCACGCCTTCTTATGGTATGAAAATAAAATTCACAGATACTTTCAAAATCACTATATAAGAAATTATTATGTGTATGGGAAAAAATAAAACCTAAGATTTATTTGAAAATCCCAGAATGGCTCTCAACACATATCCAAATCTAGTGAAGTTCGAAAAAATTGTGACATCTAAAGATATTTGGGACACTGAAGGGAAATTAAAATCTAAGCTTGAAGATCAGGCATTATACTATCATGGTGGCCTCAATTACAAATACAATCTACCGGTAGATACGATAAAGACATCAAAAAGTATCCCTTTTATAATCAGTTATTTTTGAACTCTGATGAAAAATTAATTAAGAAAATATATGATGTTTTACTAAACTGTAAAGTGGAGGACAAACAAGTAGACACAATGACAGTGGGTAAAAAACTGCTTATAATATAGAATTAGAGAAATGGCAAAACATATGGGAGAGGAACTATTAATTGACAATGGCAAATTTTATAAAGAAAATTTATATAAAATGGCACTTACCACCTGTTAGATTAGTTAAAATTTTTAAAAATATGTCTAGCAAATATTAGAAATGTAACCAAAAAATGGGCACTTATTATCATATGTGGTTGACTTGTGTAAAAGCAAAAAGGTTTTGGGCAAAAATACATAAGTGGTTAGAAAAGATGATAGGAAAAAATGTAGATTTTAAATCTGAACTTTTTATTAGGTATAATATCAAAAACTTGATAAGCAAACTATATATTTAATATTGCACATCTTAGTACCAACGAGGATTATATTTGCACAATATTGGAAAAATGAAGAAACACTGCAAGAGGAAGAGATAATTAGGAAGATACTAGATTGTGCATAAATGGACAGACTTGCGCTGAAGATTAAACAGAAAGAAGACACAGAATATTATCAAACATGGACTTTATTTTACCAGTGGTTGGAAAAAAAAGAGGTGGAGATTAAAAACGTAATCTGTATTGTTAAGCAAATTGAATAACCCAGACAACATGATGTTTATTAAGCACTAACAAAATGTAAACAATAGAAAATCAATAAAATCTTTTTTTTTTATTTTCCTGGAATGTACAGGTAGTCCTCAATTTACAAGAGTTTGTTTACTGACCGTTCAAAATTACGACAGCACTGAAAAAAGTGACTTGTCATTTTTCACACAACCTTTGCGGCATCCCTATGGTCACATGACCAAAATTCAGGTAGTTGGCAACTGACTCATATTTACAACTTTGCAGTGTTCCAGGATCATATGATCACCTTTTGTGACTTTCTGACAACCAAAGTCAATCGGGAAGCCATTGACCATGTTACTAACTTAAGAACTTCTGTGATTCACTTAACATGGTAAGAAAAATGAAACTGGGATGAAACTCAGTTAACACATCTCACTTAGCAACAGAAATTTTGGGCTCAATTATACTTGTTATTATATCTGTACTCCTAGATCTCCAGAATTCAGCTCCCCGAGGGGTTGCTTTTGTTGGGCAAATTTTAGAGTCCCGAAATCTCCTCTTCCACCCTGGAGCTGTTCAATTTAGGCAAAGAAGGTCAGATATCAGTGAATGAGGATTAAGTGTCCAGCAGGCCCTGGATGCTGCTACAGCACAAGAGGGGAGTTATGATTTGATTGGGGCTAGAGCTGAGTTTTATTTCTTCATGTATTAGATTTTTATCCGGCCTTTATAAGTAATTCAAGGTGGTGAACATACCTAATACTCCTTCCTCCTCCTCTTTTCCCCACAAAAAACCCCACCCTGTGAGGTGGGTTGGGCTGAGAGAAAGTGACTGGCCCAAAGTTACCCAGCTGACTTTCTTGCCTAGTTTGTTATCTTAGTAAACTGGAAGAGCTGGCTTGTGTAAGCAGCCTCTCTTCCATAAGTTAATTGAAAAAAGCAGGTTAATCACAGAATATCTCCTCTAATTTTTCTCTGTGGGGCGGAGGATGGATATTTGTCGGTTTGTTAAACAAGGCCTAAAAGTTGTTCCTGTTAAGTCAGCTCTACAGTTTATAAACCATGGAAGGAACTGAAACTCAGTTCTTTCTAAGGGGACACTGACTTTAGTGGGGAAAATCAGTTTGCAAATGAATGAGAGAGTTTCAGAGAAAAACTAGTTTTAACAGAACATTCTCACTGCATCCCCTGAATTTGAAGATGCAAAGGTTTCTTCTAAGACCATAACGCATAACTATAGGCAACAGAAGTAACCCGAGATCTCTTGAATTACTTGCCAATGCACAAGTGCGCATCCACTTTCTGAAACGTGCGAGTGCCCCGGTGTGTCTCCCGTCCTCCTTTCGGAAGGAAGGGACCCACCCCCTCAGGTGTGCGGCGTCTTGAGAGACCTCTGGTTATTCGCTTCGGGTTCCGGGTTTTCGCGCAAAGCGCCCTGTCTGAGCCGGGCCCTTCTTCATGAAGACCCTGAACGGGATGACGCCGAGGCTGGCACACGGCCCGGCCATTGGACGCACAAGGTGGTGGGCAGAAAGGTTAAGCTGTTGGGGGCTTCACTGCACCTCCGCCGGCAGGTTTTCCCAGCCTGGCTCGGTCAGCCCTGCCTTCCCGCAGCTCAGCTCTCGGCAGCCTCCCTGGAAGCCTCCGGGGCCGCAAGCAGCGCCAGGGCACCTCAGCCTCGCCTTTTAGGGACGCCGCGTCCCCCGCTAAGACCTACCAGAGGCGGCGGCTTCGGCCTCTCCCCTAGAGACCTGCGACCGAAGCCTCGCGTGGCAGCCTCCTCGGCCCACCGTCGCCGCAAAACACTTTTACGCAGACAACGCGAAAAGCGGGGAACCGAACGGCCGAGACCCCCACGCTCGCGCACTTCACTCGAATCCACAGCGGGCCTTCTGCGCAAGCGCCGTCGGAGAGAGGGGCGGGGACGCTGCCAGCCTTCTGCCCCGCCCCACGAGGGGGGGGAGGCGGAAGCAAGCGGGGCGCAGGCGCGGGAGGCGCAGAGCCGCCTGGGTGGTGCCGCCGCCGGGTTGGGGGGGGGGGGGGGGGGGGGGGGGGGGGCCCCCCCCCCCCCCCGGGGCCCCCCCCCCCCCCGCGGCGCCCGCCTGACCCGCCTCTCGCCCGCAGGAGGCTGCAGTGCCGGGCCCGGCAGACCCGCGAGCGGCGGCTGCGGAAGCTGATGGAGCCCGCGGAGCCCCCCGAGCGCGCCTTGACCCTCCGCGCGATGGAGCAGATCCGGTAAGGAGAGCCGCGCGGGGACCCCGTCCAGCCCCGTCCAGCCCGACCCTCCGCCTGACCCTCCGCCTCCCTCCGCAGGTTCCTCCGCCGCGCCTTCCCCGAGGAGTGGCCGGCCGGCCGGCTGGCGCAAGGCTTCGGCGTGACGCGCGAGGTCATCCGCCGGGTGCTGAAGAGCCGCTTCTGCCCGTCGGCCGAGCGGGGCCTGAAGCAGGACGCCCGCGCCGGCGCCCGCCCGAACCCCGCGCCCGCTGGCGGAGCCGCCCCGGGGGCGCTGAGCCTGCCGCCCGCCCCGGAGCTCCACCCGGACTGCGGCCGGAGACGAAGGCCGCCTCCCGGGACTCCCCGCCGAGGAGCCTTCGGTAGCGGCGGGCAGGCGGCCCGAGGGAGCCCGTGGCTGAGCGGGGAAAGAAGCGGCGCGGCGGAGCCTGGCGAGAGAGGCAACCGAGGAGGCGCCTCTTGACGCTGCGCCTGGGCAGGGAGGGGGCCCGGCTGCTTCCCCTCTTGTCCCCTCAAGCCGCTTCCTGGCCGGCTGAGAGCCAACGAGCTTCGTAAACGAACCGGCCGAGGATGGGAAGGGAACCGCAGGGCGAGGAATGGAAGAGGCTTTTGACACAAGGTGGGAATAGTTCCAGACAAACACCGATTCCCCCCCCACCCCCCACCCCCAAGGAAGCACTATGGCAAGCGACAGAGGAGCCCCTGCGCTCCCTTGGAGGGAAAGCACCCAAATAAACTCCGTGATCCACAACTGTCAAGCGGCTCTTTTTTAATTCCAGCTTCAGTAAAGACCAATGTAGTCCATGTTTCCAGGGTCCCATCGCAGCCTTCTACCAACCTGGAATGGCTGCACCTTGAGCAAGAGCTGGCAGTCCTGGGAAGAAGCTCTTCAGCACTGTTCTGTATGCCACTTTAGAAGGGAATGATTTTTATGTAAACCTTTGTTGGGAGGTTGTGCTTAATCAGAAATACAGAAGTATACAGAATAATAGCGGTGCAAGGGACCTTGGAGGTGTTCTAGTTCAGGGGTCACTAAATTCATAATTTTAAATCCCATGGACCACTAATACGAATCCAGTGCACCGCTCGCTGAAACACCTGGACTCCCGGTGATGGGATGGGGTCCTTCAGGCACTTAGCTTGGCCGGCTGTTTCTGCAACCTTAAACACTCTCTCAGTACCTTTTGCTTTCATCTCTCAGTATCTCTTTCGCATCTCTCATCTCTTTCTCATCTTTCTCTCATCTCTCTCTCATTCTGATTCTCCAGCGCGACCGAGGTATGCGCAGCACCAACAAGGGCTGGAAGAAACGCCCGCGAGACCCAGTAAGAGATCAAGCTTCACTTCCACTCTGGAATATGGAGCGAATCTCCATCCCTCGCCTTTCCCTTCTCAGACGAGGCGAGGAGTGACTGGGTGGGTGAGGGGCGTGGCCAGGTTGTGGTGGGATCATCCAGCAGGAAGCCACAGCAGGGGGACGAAAGAGCCAGGGGTTGCCATCACCTGTTGCTTTGGCCTGCCTGCGCCGCCACCTCCCCGCCTTGCCGCAACAGCACCATTACCTTGTTCTGGCTGGTGAGGGCTGCGCTACCCCTTGCCACCACCTGAAAGTTGCAAGTTCCATGTACCTCCCTCTGCAGCGGAGATTTCCAGCCCCGCCACAAGCTGCCTGGCCGGTCCCATATTCCAGAGCTCTAGTCACAGGACTGGCCATTGGTCATCCCGGAGCAGCTCCTCCACCCAGGTGCACTGCAGACGACCAAAATTTTCTTGCGGACCACCAGTTGATGACCTCTGTTCTAGTCCAACCCCCTACTTGAGCAGGAAACTCTATACCCATGATGGCGAACCTATGGCACGCATGCCGGAAGTGGGATGCAGAGCCATTTCTCCAGGCACATGTGGAGTCCAGATGCACAGATAACAGTGATGATGTTACCTAGTTTGGTAATGAAACGTCTGCAAGGAAACAGGCTCAGAGAGCAGCAAAGAATCAGATATCTTGATGATCTTGAGGGTCACAGGAAATAAAACATGGCATGGAAAAGAACTTCTATGCTGTTGCCAAGAAAACAACCTGGATCTCCCTGTCTAGTCTTTGCCTAGGAACTGAGCTCGGCTGATTTCTCCATTTTATACTGAACCAATGAGAAAGAATACTTTCCAATAACTTCGAAATGAAATGCACCTCCATCACCCTCATTGTGTACAAGTAGTAAAGATCTCATAATTTCCCTTTACATATATATATGAATAATAAGATTCTCTCCCCCACCCACTTACTCTTTCTTTCTCTTCCCCCCCCAACTTCCATCATATTTCTATGGCTGCACATCTCACAGCAATGACTTTTGGCAGTGTATAAAGTAAAAACCAACAGCTAGAACAGCAATCCAAAGAATGAAACCTACATTTATAGAACAAAACCCAACTTACCTTTCACTTAAATGCGTAATGTAGACAGGAAAACAAGACGCAAACAAGATGCGCAAAGACTGCGGTGACCACTTCTGGCGACTCAACTCATAAGTCTAAAATAGACACACAAGGCCCCTATCTTGGCACAGCTGGATGGAAGGCCATCTAGCAAGGCTTTGGATATTGCCAACATCCCAAGATCTACAGTACATAGGGATGGCCATAGGAAACTAAACATGTAGGGACCCATATTTTCTTGTGATAGTCCTGAAATGTAGGCAGCGTTATAATCACCAAACCATCAAGGGGCGATGGGCTGAGGACTCAACCACTTAGGCTTCTCCTGCATCAATAGTGAAACTATTGGAACTAAATAGGGCCTGGTGGCTCAGCAGACTGATAGCATTGTGATTAACACCAGCTGCCTGCAATTACTGTAAGTTCGAATCTCACCAGGCTCAAGGTTGACTCAGCCTTCCACCCTTTCTAAGGTAGGTAAATTGAGGACCCAGATTGTGGGGGCAATAAGTTGACTTTGTATAAAATATACAAAAGTATGAAGGCTATTGCTTAACGCATTGTAAGCTGCCCTGAGTTCCCGGAGAAGGGCGGCATATAAATCAAAATTTTTTAAAAAAACTGATACCATATTTCCCCCAAAATAAGACCTACCTAACCAGAAAATGATTTTTCAGGATGCTCTTAATAGCAATAGCACTTAGACTTATATACCGCTTACAGTGCTTTTACAGCCCTCTCTAAGCAGTTTACAGAGTACCAGCATTTTGCCCCCAACAATCTGGGTCCTCATTTTATCCACCTTGGAAGGATGGAAGGCTGAGTCAACCTTGAGCCCTACCCCAAAAATAAATTCAGTTAAGATGCCAGACAGTTGCATTTTAGTACTGTATTTCCCCCAAAATAAGACCCAACCAGAAAATAAGTCCTAATGGGTCTTGGAGCAAAAATTAATATAAGACCCAGTCTTCTTTTTGGGAAATACAGTATAAACCGTTTACTTTATGGCGCAAAAGAGGCTGTACTTCTTGAGAATGCTCAGGAAGATAAATCTATCTCAGCATCTACTTCTGTCCTACTATCGCAGCACCATTGAGTGTGTCTTGACATACAGCATTCTTTGTATGGGAGCAGCTCTCTAGTGGACAAAAAAGCTCTACAGAGAATCATTAAAACTGCCCAGAATATCATCAGGCTCCAGTTACCAGCCCTGGATGACATTTTCGAATCTCGCTGTTTGAGGAAGTTGCATAACATTCTCAGAGACTCGTCCCATCCTACTTACAATCTTTTTGGACTGTTGCCTTCTGGCAGAAGATACAGAACAATTAAAACTCGGACCACATGTTTTCTGAATAGTTTTCATCCCAGAGCTATAATTGCACTCAACAATGAATTAAAGGGCCACCATCAGTGAGCTGTTGGACAGCATTACTTGGTCTGTTGTGTGGGTGTTTGGGTGGTTTAGGGGTGGGGAATTTGTGGTGGGTGGGGGTGTGTTTGGGGATTGTTATTTGTGTTGGACCTGATCTTTGGGTGTTAAGTGAATTTCGTTGTATAGGTATACTCAGGGATGAAATCCAGCAGGTTCTGACAGGTTCTGGAGAACAGGTAGTGGAAATTTTGAGTAGTTTGGAGAACTGGCAAATGCCACCTCTGGCTGGCCCCAGAGTGAGGTGGGAATTGAGATTTTGCAATATCCTTCCCCCAGAAATGGGGAAGGAATGGGGATTTTGCAGTATCTTTTCCCTGCCACACCCACCAAGCCACACCACGCCCACCAAGCCACGCCCATAGAACCAGTAGTAAAAAAATGGGTTTCACCACTGGGTATACTGTGTAAACACGTACAATGACAATAAAGTTATTATTATTCAGTAATGGTTTAAAATGGTTTTGGTTTCAAAATGCAACGGTTTAAAAAGATTGAAAACTGTGTGGTTATAGACTCCTGCACAGCTGAAACAGAAAGAGGATTGCTAACCTTTGACCACTCGGGGAGGAATAAAGAAGTGACCTCTTGTCCAAATGAAAGCTTATTCCCGCTTCTGTGAAAATGAAGATTGGCTACCAGGGGAGATGAATGGTAAGGAGAAGGACTGGATGTTTCCTTCCCCTTCCAAGCTTACCTCTTGATAGCCATCACTGATGCGCTCCTTGCCTTCTTCACTGACATCGCTTTCATCCTCAGATTCTACTCTGAAAAATTTCTTTGCAACACAGAATGTCCAGGGTTACCATAGGGACAGATATAAACACTTTTGAATGATTCCAGCTTTACTGATCAGACAGAGGTACTTGGCCAACCTGGATTTCAGGTTCTCATCCCTTTGGGAGAGAATTTTGGGGTGAAGGGGGGGTGCCAAAACATTGCAGATGAAGAGATTGTCCATTTACCAAGGGAGGATTCCCTGCAAGATGCCTGAAGGTGCACGATCTCATCATGGTCTTCCAAAGAGTGTGAAATTTTGCTGTGGGATTAGAGAATACAATCCATTGAGATGAATCCCCCATCAATAATGGATATCGATCCAGACCCATGTCAGAAAAAGTAATCAACAAAGATTACTTTATCAGTACATAAAGCTCAAAACTAATCTTAAAGCAAAGATCTTAACAGTTTAACAATCTTAAATCTAAAAAATCTTATATCTGAACATAGAAAGAAAGGGATTAAGATGCTGTCTTTCAGGGCGATTCCTGATATTTCAGAGAGAACCTGGAGAACCACTCACCTTTCACTTTGGCAGATGAATCCAACCTGACTAGACGTGTCTGATCAGCTGCTGACGGAGGCGTGCTACCACCCAGCCAGTGACCTTGATGTCCCTTAGGATGTTCTCCAAAGTCACTTCTGCTTCGTTCCTGCTAGTCCTTACTGGCCTTGTATTCATCAGCGGAACCAATTTTGCAGAAAGTTCTCAAACTTGTAGGTTGTAGGCTGCCTGTTCTGATGCTCTGAACCAGGAATGAAGTTGTCCCTTGGAGAATGGTCTCCAGAGGTGGAAGACTGTCCTTTTCCCTTTTCTCGTAGCAGAGCAAGGGCAAATGCAGAGACTGGAGAAGTATGGAAACCTAAAAGTGGCTCATCTTTTGTTTGAGTGACCCAGTTGGCATCCTCCATTTATAGGTCCATCCTTCCTTCCCTCCCTCCCTTCTGTCAACTGTCCAATTAGCAAATCCAAAACAAGGAAACACTCTTGGGAGAATTGAATTCCCAAAAGTAAAACTTTATTGGATACACCATGTTGGTACTGAAGAAACGAAATGAGCTCTAGATTCCCGTGCAAATGCTTGGCCAGTTAAACAATACTTTCTCCTCCTCCCTCCCGATGATCACATTGTCCAATTATGAGACTTTCTTTTGTTGTGGGAACAGTCCATCTCTTTCACAAGACCTGCAGCGGTGACCTTGACACACAATATCCATATACATTCCCAGCCTTCCATGTCCCCCCTTCCCTCCCCCGATTTCGTTGGCAAGTTGAAAATCATTAGGGTTTGAAAGAAGCAAAGCAATTCAATCTTGACATGCTGGCCCCCTGAAGGAAAAGGGCACCTGGAAAATATTAAGCATAGATTCATTGTTATTTAGGTGGTTTTAGCTTAATCTTAGGTATAAAATATGAGGGTATTTTTCAGGGAACCTTTTTACTAGCCTGTCTGTGCTAACATTGTGAGCACCCATTGGTACTCAGATGGAACCCGAACTAAGCCCCTGAGCAGACTCTATTTGTTGGATAAATTCTGGCCAAAATTTTGCTGTAAACTGCGTCCCCAGGTCTGAAATAATGCACCTTGGGACTCCATGCAGCCAGTAAACATGCTGCACAAACATATTGGCCAGACTCTGAGCTGAGGGAAGCTTTAGACACGCAATGAAGTGTGCTTATTGGGGAACAGGTCAACCACAATCCAAATTATAGTGCTCCCATTACTTTCCAGTAATTCCACTATAAAATCCATGGCAATTTCCTTCTATGGTCTGCTGGGGTTGGCTACCGGTTGTAGGAACCTAGGAGTCTTCCCTGGCAATCACTTCAGGGATGCGCACGCTGGGCATCTGGTCACATAGTTTTCTATGTTTTTCTTCAGGCCACCAAAACACTCTTTTTGCCAAGTGAAGGGTCTTTACAAACCCAAAGTGATCAGCCAGCTTTACGTTGTGGCTTCTTTGTGGGAGCTGATTCCTCTGGCTGGCTGGAACATACAGTTTGTCTCCCTTCCATGTCAGGTCCCACCTCATCAGATCGGATTTGTGGGTTTTGAACCATTTGTTTTCCTTCAGGGCTTCCTTTAGTCATTGGGTCAGTGTACTGTCGGCTGGGGAGTAGCTAGCAGCCACCATCTTGCTGAGACTGCCAGTTACTAGGAGGAGATAATGGCACTATTTCCTCTTGGGTGCTTTTGTATTGGGGCATCTGAGAGAGCACATCAGTGAGAAGGGAAAAGAAAATTGAATTAAAGTACTGAGCCCATCGCACTTGCCTAAGGGACACCTTTCTTGGGGTCTTTAAGGCTTCTAAGTTCTTGTGGTCAGTCCGTACTTCAAATGGAATCTTACTGCCATCCAGAAATTGTACACCAGGTACACCAACATCCTTTATACAGGTGTTCGTGCAGCATCTCATTGATTAGTTACATGAATACTGCAGGTGCTCCCAGCAGCCTGAAGGGCATTACCCAGAATTGGAAGCACCCTAAAGGACAATTGAAAGTGGTTTTCCACTCGTTGCCCTATTTTATTCTCACTCGGTAATCCACTTCTGTCAAGTTCATCTTGGTGAATACCTTTCCTTGGCCAGGTATCTCAGCATGTCCGTCATAAGGGGGAAGGGGTACATTGTTTTAACAGACACCATTGATCCCACAAAAATCCGCGCATAATCTCGGAGTCGTGGCCAGCGTCAGGAGGCATGGCCAGCATTGCAGCGGTACAATGGACTCTTTGGGGGCTCCCATTGAATCATCAATATCCCCACTGTCCAAGGGTCCTCTGTGACCTAAGTCATCCTGTAGGGACGACCAACAAGAATAGCACGTACCGGTCAACACAGGGAGATTGCAAACTCCCTGGAGAGACCGGAAGAAGCTCTTCAAATCAGACACTGGAAAGCGACCCAAAAGTCCCTAAAAAGCTGGGGGCGGTCTGTGACATCAAGGTAAGATAGATTCGATTTTATTCATCTTAGAAAGTTTCTCTTTAATCCACCTGGAAGATCTGTGGGGTGGAGAAGATTGGCTGAGAGTGAGGAGTGGGTGCGGGTATGTATTCACACCCACATCCGGAAATTTGGGCGGCAAGGAATGCGCGACTGGAAGCCTATTAAGCACTTACTAAATTTCCATTGAAGATGATTTGGGGATTTTAAAAATAATTGGATATTAAGGCTTTGAATGGACTGAATGGAATATACTTTTTTTTTTAATGGATTGTTACAAATGCTGATTGCTTAATGATACTTTGAAACAACTTTAGAGAAGTAAAAGTACTGAGCTGAAAAGTTAACCTGTAGTGCCACCTAGTGGCAGAAGAAAAAAAAAAGACATACCATATTTTTCGGAGTATAAGACGCACCTTAATTTTGGGGGAGGAAAACAAGAATTCTACCTCTGCCTACCAGCATTTAAGGTGGCGCTGCTTTACGCTGCCCTCCTCCTCCTCCTGCAAGCGAGAGGTGCCTCAGTGACTCGGCTGGGAAAGAGGGCGTCGATTACTGACAAGTTCTTTTCCAAAAAACTTATCAGGGTGCTCCTGCATGGCTCAGTAAAGCACATGATCTCCACATACGTTCTCAGCATTCCATGTCCCCCTTCCCTCCCCCCAGTTCATTGGCAAGTTGAAAATCATTAAGGTTTGAAAGAAGCGAAGTGGCTCAATCTTAACAGAAACTTATTTTCCCCTCTTCTCCAGCTTTTGTTTTCTTCTTTTAGAAATTATATCATCTTGACTCCTTTGAGATGGCATCAGGATAAATAAGAGAAAATAAAAGGTGAATAAAAGAAATAATCATTCCAAGTCAGATATATAAAGTCAGATCAAATCCTATGAACTCTAAGCAACCTTTGAATGAGCTCATCTATTCACTTAAAAGATACGTGCTGGCTAAAAGCAGCTGGACTGCCTTATTAGTCAAATATATCTTCTGATAAGGCTCAGCTGTCATCCAGCAGAAAAAGTAAGAATGGAGTTTGGTGAATAGAACTGAGCAATTAGTTCATGGATGTCCCCCTAATCACTTGACCTATGGCCCTGTGTCCAACTCTGATTCTATACATCTTCTTAACAGAATCAACTGTGAACATCTGGACGGATACAGGGGATGCAAAAAGTTATTTATTGTTTAAAAAGTATAGTCATAATTTCTGCATTTACACATTACAGCTTTTAAGGAATAGTTGTAAAACATGAAGTGATGGGTTAGTTAAAGTTATAATGGTTAAATCATGAAGTAGTGAAAATGTATAGCCAAAATAATTGTATTAAGTAGTAGGTAATGGTTTGATAATTAGTAAAGTGTAATGTAAGTGAAATGTATTTTTAATGTAACCATATATGGAAGCCGGAAAAGGCTCATGGAACTCTTTGTCTTGAAAGCATATTTAAGTAATAGAAAAATGACCAATCTTCATTCAGGTTGCAACTTTCAAACAAAGCCCTGAATCTTTGCGCAAATAAACAGATCTGTCTGACCCAGGAATGTGCTTCAGTCTTTCATTTCTACAACACCTTTGCAAGAGGAGTTTTCCCTTTTTATAAAATTTCTCGATTTATTGTTCAGGGATTTGGGGGAAAAATCTGGCTTCAATGGGCCTTGAAGGTGGCTATCAATGAGATAAAAGCAACATTATGCAGACAGGCCAGGAGAAAGTTTGTGCCA